ATTAAAAATATATTCAACTTATTTTCAACTTCAGTAAGGTTCAGCCGATGGTGATCGTACAAATAATCAAAATGAAGGTGGAATAACCATTTTTCGAGACAGTGCGGCTACAAGCGTCCAAGACCCAAATATTTGGGTTTTAATAACCAAAATGAAATTAGGAATTGCTGCAGATGAAGCCAAGTTGGCATAGCAGTCTAGGTCTATTAGGTAATAAAAAATACCAAAATTTGTATAATAAAGTAATATCAGCAACAAACTGAAACTTTTGATCAACGGTTAGGTAAGTGAGTCAATACTGATGCATATAGTTTAATTAGTTATACACTAAAAATTATTAAATATTGGTTTAATAATTTCTTAGAGCTCAACAATAGTAAATCTAATTCAATTTTTTTTCTAAATATACAATTATTTTCTACTTTTAGAACAATTAGTTATACATTCTTTAACCTATATCAATGTAAATTGTTATTGTAATAAAATTATAAATGTTAGTTTGATCAAGGACCATTCATATTGATTATGTAAGTAATATAGTTAAGACTTTTTTTTATAGATTTTAAATTTTAAAATATATTTTTAACGATAATTGTTGATATAGCTGTAGTTCAATCTATGTTAAGTTTTGGTTTAGGGCCGTTCTCACTAACGTAAAAAACGCGTTTATATGATTCTTAAATTGAGTTTATAGCTAATAACCGATCACGATTGGTTGATTATCTTATGAACTCTGTTTAAAAATCAATGTTTACGTTGGTGAGAACGGGCCTTAGTAGTATGCGGTACCTAATGCTGTGGACAAATATATACTTAAGCTTATTATTATATTAAATTCATTTTTGAGATTTATACTGAGAAAATTATATAGTTATCAAGTTGCTGATTTGTTTATATTTTTAATATTAGTCATACAAATGATTTATTTATTTGTAGTAGTGTTTTTTCATATTGTTTTGGTAGATACATTGTTATTTATAAGCCTAAGACCTTCTTCATACCAAGCCATTCGGCAGCGCAGCTATCGGAAAAATACAAACGTATTCGGATGGTTTCATACACGACCACAGCCACTGAAGGTGTGAGTGGCTGGCTTCGCCGCGTCTAAAAGTCATGCTTCTCGTAGCAGAACGTATTTTTAGATAGGGCATTTCACATGCGACTGCAATTGTGATTTTTGTATAATTCGGCCTTCCAAAAAATTTACTTTTGAAATGTTAATAATTTATATTTAAACTACACAAAGATATAGTATATACTTTTTATTTTGACATTGCAAATTTTAACCCACTGGTTTATGGAAAAATAAAATTGCTACATGGCATTTTATGGTCACCGGCACGTTTTCGTAAAGCGTACCGTAGAAGAAAAGAAACATTCGAAGGACTCATAGATTGTTCTATTAGATTATTTTCCGAATTTAAAAATGTATTTCCTCCAGTTGCGAGTGTAACCAATATGGTCCACAGTCTACAGTATATTGGTGTTTGATCTTCCTATACAATTATTAAATGTTCAGCAGTGTTTGTTAAGGTTAAGCTATCTCAATTTAAATTAAATATACCCCAGTATTATTTGTGTGTTTTAAAAATAGATAGATTTTCTTTGGAATTCATACAATCGCACTTTATTACCTAGTTATTTTATTTCATTAGTTTATCTACTCGAGTTACGTCATTGTTTATACTATTTATCGTCCAAATATTAAAATCGAAATAACTATCACGTTTTTTTTAAAAATTAGTTTGTGCTTATTAATTTGTTTCTCCAGTAAGTATAGATATTAGGTACAACATACTCACAGTCATCTCGCCTCTGTTGACCTTACCTATCATGTTGCCACAATATACGTCTTTCATAATCTCTTGTTTTATAATTTACAAATTTTTATTTTCTACGTTTGGGTCAGCCATAGGGATTTTAACTATCCTTTCAGTTTATGGTTTTAATATATTATTACAAAAATACTTTGCCTAATATCTCATCATGTGTTATAAAAATATTTACTACATGAAATTCTGCGTTTATTTCTAATTTATCAATATTAATTATGACTAATATTTATCCAAAGGTTTCTATTTTATGTTTGCTACTACCCCTTGGATTTATTTTTTTATATGATTTATCATTATTCTTCCTTTAAGCTATAACTTTAATAATACTTACATCACTATCTGTACCAATAAGTAATTTTAAATTATATATTATGTTATAAGGCAATCTCACGTTATGTTGTATATGAAGAAATTATCAAAAATCTTAATAAGAACAAATGTTTTCAGTGATAAATACTCAAAATTAAATATTAAATTAATTAACTAACTACATTTTGTTTTATTTTATTTCTATGTTAATTAAATACACCTTAAAGTTATAATATTTTAATGACTAAACAGATAATATAAGATATACATGTACAGTATAATAATGTATATATACATATATAGTAATAAAAGATAACTTAATAGTGTAGACTTTTATTCATGTATTCTACAATTATTTTTAATTTACGATAAAAATTATCAATATCAATTTTAAAAAATGTCCGTTATTTAGAGTGTTCTGTATTTAAAGGTTTTCTTATAAATAATGAAAATGTCCTGTTCCCAAAAAACGTCTGCTATTTAGAGGTGTCCATTTAGAGAGATTTCACTGTATATATAAATAATATAAAAAAACAAATAAATAATGTTTAAAAAAAATGTAGCCTGAAGTGTTGTTAATTTTATTTGTATTCACAACCAGGTCTTATTTTTAAAACCATTATCAGGTAATATAACCAGATTTTGTTCTTATTGACTTTATTTACTTCTCTAAATATTTTCATCTCCATAATACTAATGGTTTGTTTTATCTATGTATGGGCAGTTAACAATAAATAGATTGATTTGAATATTAAATTAATATAAAACTATATTTTTAAATTTCATTTCAATTTAAGTTCAAATTTATAATACAAATATATATTTATATATACATTTATTATACACATGCTTGTAGTGTATAAATAATATAAATGTGTCATGTTTTCTATATCAGATTCTTATTGATTATTTGGCTGATTTCTTTTTTGCATTATCTGTTCACACGCATTCATATGATTATCATACCAATCTGATCTCTGTTGGAAAAAAAAAACTTTTCTTAGTTCGAAACAAAATTGAATCAATCTATAAATATGAAAATTAATGTCTGTCTGTCTGTATGTCCTTTATAGACTAAAAAATTACTAGACCGATTTTAACAGGGTTTTTTGAAAAACGTTCTACGTGGTTCAGAGAAGGTTTGTAGCTATTGAAATTTATAAAACTCAACCCCCATAGGATAGTTGACAGAGGGGTTTTGGTATTTTGTAGTATAATTTTTTTTTGATTGGATTACCTTGGTATAAAGTAAATATTAGTCTTATTTTCGTCCAGTAATTTTGAGTTTAGAAAGGACATACAGACAGGCAGATATTCATTTATATATATATATATATATATATATGTATAAAAATTATTCTTACTTGACAAACATGGGAACAATATTTCACTGTGGAACAAGTACTACACATTATTGTTGCTTTATTGGTACAATTAGGTGCGCTACACTGAAACAAATTTTCATCAAAATTACAACATTAGAATACTCACATATATATAATTGTATTAGCTATACAGTCTATAGCATTAATAATAAAGAAATGGATAAATCACTTAACCAGGAAAATATTATTTTTAGGTTGTACCATAAACATAATAATAAGATATGGACTGCACCTTCCACATACCCTGTCATAGGTTTGCTATGTCTAACATCGAGTGAGAGAAATAAATAATATTTACATGTGGAAGATATAATAAAATAATATTAACTTTTCTGAGTTAACTGAAAATTGAAATAGAAGAAGGGGAATGGAGAAATTGCATTAAATTGAATTTTAAGAGTCATAAAACATTTAATTTATTTGTATGTATTTTATACTTAATTTATATTATAATATTACTAAAAATAATACATTATTATGATTTTAAATAATATGTGATGTAACAAAAATAATGATTACTTTCAGCTAAGTAAGTAATAATTTTAGAGTTTCCAAAAATCAGTTAGGTTAGTACATAGAAAAAAAAAAAAAGAAGATAATTCTAAAATTTAGTTTTATAACAAAAATCAACACAAATCACTAGAAAAACTTAAATATTTAATTTAATACTTTGCAAAAGTTAAAAAAATACAGAAAAAAAACTGTATGTTATAATCAGTTAGGTGAATCAATAAATGTTAAGTTATATATAGATAAATAGGTTATGCTAATTTACTAAAATAATGAACAATATTTATGAGAGGCATAGTGGCATAGCTCATTGTTTAAGAGCCAGTTTTTAATCAAGCATGAACAATAAATCAATTATGATATAATTATATTATTTGATAACACATTAAATATTATTATAAGAGCTAATAAATTATACATACCTGGGATGATAGAGCTTCTAGAGGTGGTGCCCTTCTAAGTATACTAACATTTTGAGGAATTGTTTTCATTTGGCCAGCTGGATTTCTAACTAAATGGTATTGTCTGTTATTAAAGACAATGGTGTTGCCATCAGATCTTTGAACAGTTGTAGTATTATTACCAGGCTTGAATTGTTTGATAGCAACAAATGTTGTTGCTTGTCCTTGTCCTTGTCCTTGAGTTAAAACAACATTAGGAGCACCTATAACGTTTAGTTTAGGTTTTGGGACTATAGTTTTATTATTACTCAGGTCCGGAGGAACTCTTGCTACTATTGAATTAGGAAAGCTTTCATATAATGGCATATTTGTCTGAGAAGGTTGTTCCACACCAATAACATTCGTTTTTGGTACCCTGAAAACATAAAAAAATTTGAAGCACAATTAAAAAACTGTACAAAAAGAATGTATTATTTATAAGCCAATAACAAATACAGGGCTAAATATACCTTGTAACACAAAAGAAAAATGTATCTAACATTATTGTATAAATATTTAATTAATTATTAAAGTTAAAGGTTAAATTAAGCTAAGTTTCTTTAATTTAAATTTTTAAAAAAAGAGTTGATACTGAGGATCGGAGCAGCTACTGTTGTAGGTGAGAAATTGGGAAGGTAGGATACGTAAAATTATTTTATTTATATCTGTAAACAACAATAAATTATTGCTCGATTCGAGTGCAGTTTGGTAATACATAATTTTAAATACTGTATTTTTTTTTTTTTTTGCGATTTTCATTTAAATTTGATTACAATATGCTTATTAAAAAAAGGAAAAAAATGTCATCCAATAATTTTGGAAACTTTACCATGTCTAGGAAAGTTCAATATAAATAATGTAACCAAGTTTCAAGTCTCTACGTGCATGTATAACCGAATTACAGCATAAAAACTACCAAAACTTAAAATTCTTTAAGAGCTAAAAATTATGGCAATAATACAGTAAGAACACAAATAAAAAGGCAACAAAAAAACTATCTTGTGATTTTTCGTTTAAATAATTTTTTCTGGTAGAAAACGTTGTCCATGTTTTTATAAAATAATCAAATCATGAAATTGTATGTTTCCCTAAGTTTTTTTTCCACCCAAGTGCTTTAATTTAAAAAATGGCGTCAAAAATTAGAATGACCTGTCTAAAGTATCATTTAGATAACTTGAGCTTTCAGAAAAGTTGCTACGTGTAAAAATCAGAGCTAGTTAATTAGGAAAAAACGTGTCCAAAGACTAGAAGAAAAACAAAATAAATATTTTAGAAAAACCAATAGCTCCCTCACTATGCTCAGAATCTATAATGAAATTTGCAATATAATTAAAAAAATTAAATAGCAAAAGAGAAAACTGTACCGTGGTTATCATAAAATTTCATTTTGAATTTGTATACATTTTATTTGATCATGTTTTTTAGAGTTTATATTAAAATTTATCAATGTAAACAAATAATATGTATTAAAATAAGATTGTTACTTTCAATTTGACAATATAATAACATCCTGGCAAAAAGATGTGTATTTCAATGTATTTCGACCGGTCTATAATGAACTCTTCCCATAACAGACACGGAAGTAAAATTTTTCCCCAATACCTTGATAACGGACAACTATCTTAGTTCAAAACTAAAAATATATTGCAAACGTGCACATGCATTTCGCGCAACAGAGTAGTACTTTTTCTGAAGAGAAATTTAATTGAAGAGATACTTTAAAGATGTCATTTTTTGATTTTCACAAGGGTTGCATAATAAATGTGAAAAACCAGAAAAAACATAGGAAAAACTGGAAAATGTACAAAATGTGTTATTTTCAAATCGTAAATATCAGGAATTTTCATGTACAACCAAACTCAGTATCATTTTTTATTAGCAATAATTAAGTGTTGCATACAGATATACATTAAATATCCCCTCTACCTTCCAATTTCTCACGTACAACTGTGATACAACACTTACAATCATGTAAAGTATATGCAATTTTTTTTTTTGCAATGCTACCTCCTATACTAGTTTATTATGAATACTTATCTATAAAGGACACGTTTTATGGTCACATAAATGTATGTTATATACAGATTTCACAGTCAAATATTAGTGATAAGTGGTATCGGCCAATCCCTACTGATTATACTTAGTACTAATAATGTAATTTGATAAAATTTTAACTTACTGGAAACTTGAAGTATTAGGTGCTTTGGATATCACCCATTGCTGTGCTGTTCTATCAGCTGAGCTAGAATTAGATGGGCCAGTAGCAATAACAGATGAAACAAGAGCATTAAAAGATGGAACACTAGTGATTATAGATGGAACAGTAGTGATTGTAGATGGAACAGAGGTGATTATAGATGGAACAGTGGTAATTAAAGATGGAACAGTAGTATTAATAGATGTCGAAATAGTTTGCATAGGTACGAGATTTGTTTTTTGAGCAACATAATTCATTGTAGCTGATGGAGAATAATCGATATGATCTTTAAATTTTGAATTTAGACGAAATTGGACCGAAGCAGTATCTATTAATAATCCCAGATCTTCATTGGTATCGCTAGTTACTGCATCAAGAACTGCTTGAAAGTATTCGCAGCCTTTCACATTTGACACAAAAAACAAGGCCAACCTGTCAGTTATTCCAGGATCTTTTTTTTTCTCTTTACTCTCTTCAATCAAACTAATTAAATCAATGCAGTCAGGGCGGAATGACTTTGATCTGAACAATGTGAAAACTTTGGGATGTTCAAAGTCACTATTTTTTAGGCTATTCCATAACAAAAGAACTAAATTCTTGAAAATGCTACCTTTTTTGAATTTAGGCTGATCTAAAACGCGAAGGATAGTTAATATGCTTAAGAAAAACATTTGAAATACCGTTTCAAAATCAGATTCCTCAAAAGAATTTATTACTCCTGTAAAATTCATCTTCAATTTGCTTTCCAGAACATTTTTATGTCTTGTATGTTGTCTATTAGCATCACATCTTTCTTTTAACTTTTCAGCTTCTGACCTCTTTTTAAATGACTCATCCATTCGAGATTTGTGATGTTTATTTGACATCGAAATTATATTCAATATATTGGCAATAATAACAATAGTATCTTGTACAATCTTGCTAAAATATTTTTTATACAGATTTTCTATTTCAATCAATGATAATTGCCCTCTTATCACTGGAAGTAAAGCAGGTAAATTATTAGGACTGCCTGTCTTCTTCGTTCCATTTGTTACAGGTTTTTTGCCCAACCACATTTCATCATAACCTTCATATTTTGATTCATCAATCAATTTACGAATATCACAAATTCTAACTTTGTTAACTAAACTTGATGAAGGATTTGCTGATTTTTCACTATCAGTATCAGTGTTCTCATTACACTTATTAGTTGATAGTTTAGGACTTGATGAATTCTTAGAAGTATCTGTATCCTTTTTAGGACTTAAATTGCTGTTAAATAATAGCTGTGACTTGAATTTGTCAGTCTCACCCTCTCTAGAAATAACTATTTTCAAATGGCCGTTTTTTTTTTTTTCATTCAATTTAATTTTTTTATTGCTAGGTTCTGATGAGCTGGGTTCATCTAAACCTCTTGTTTTCGCAGGTGATCTTGGCTTTAAAGGAGATTTTGGTTTTGTAGGTGATTTCGGCTTTAAAGAAGATTTTGGTTTTGGTGGTGATTTTGATTTAGCAGATTTGTATTTTGGAGGCGATTTGACTTTTCGAGGAGAACTGGAGTATTCCTCGGGAGTTTTTCTTTTGTTTACAGGGCTTTTGTTTATAGCTTTATTTAAAGGATTATAATCTTTTGTAAGCTCAGGTATTTCTAAAGGACTAACTTCAATTATAGCAATATTTTCTTTTATAGCGATATTTTCTTCAAGAGCGCTACTTTCATTTAAAGCGCTACTTTCATTTAAAGCGCTATTTTCATTTAAAGCGCTACTTTCTTCCAAGGTGATATTTTCTTCAAAAGCACTACTTTCTTTTAAAGCGCTAATTTCTTTTAAAGCGCTAACTTCTTTTAAAGCGCTAACTTCTTTTAAAGCGCTAACTTCTTTTAAAGGGTTAACTTCTTTTAAAGCGCCAACTTCTTTTAAAGCGCCAACTTCTTTTAAAGCGCCAACTTCTTTTAAAGCGCCAACTTCTTTTAAAACGCTAACTTCTTTTAAAGGGATAATTTCTTTGAATAAGCTAATTTCTTTTGGAATGTCAACTTCTTTTGGAGCGTCAACTTCTTTAGGAGCGTCAACTTCTTTTAAAGAGATAATTTCTTTTAATACGCTAATTTCTTTTAATACGCTAATTTCTTTTTGAGCGTCAACTTCTTTTGGAGCGCCAATTTCTTTTAAAGGGATAACTTCTTTTGGAGCGCCAATTTCTTTTAAAGGGATAACTTCTTTTGGAGCGCCAACTTCTTTTGAAGCACTAACATTATTGGAAGGGCCAACATCTTCGGAAAGGCCAACATCTTCGAAAGCGCCAACATCTTCAAAAATGTTAACATCTTCAGAAATGCTAACATCTTTGGAAGCGCTAACTTCTTTTAAAGTAATAATTTCGTTTGAACTGCCAACAACAACTACATCATTGACTACTTCTTCATCGTTGACTACTTCTTCGCTGTTGACTACTTCTTCATCGTTAACTACTTCTACATCAACTACTTCTTCATCAACTACTTCTTCATCAACTACTTCTTCATCGACTACTTCTTCATCGCTGATGACTTCGATATTGTCATCTTCTTCATCATCACTGATGATTATTATATCATTTTCCGAAATATCGTCATCTTTTCCTTTTGAATGGCTGGTATCTCTTAAAGCAATAGTTTTTTTTCTTATCCTTTTTGGAGGGGCACATTTTAGTTTTTTACGTGCTTCCCTATAACATATGAAATACACAAAAATTATGAAATTTAAAATGTTTTATTTACTAATTGGAATTACTATAATGTTGTTTTTTTTTTTTTAATTAACCCCGAATTATTTTCTTTTAAATAAACTTATATACAATTTAGTTAAACTGTAATCTTTAAACTATTAATCTGCACTTTGTCAGATTTTATTGTTTCTAAAAGTTTATACTTTAGCAATTAAGTTATAATTTATATAATGTATACATCTATCAATATTATGCAATATTAATATGTATGAATCCCATGCATAAAAAGTGATTTATTAAACATGCTCATCCCATTTATATCATTAAATTTTGCATATATTCACAAATACTGATTTTTGAAATTTTTAAGTGTGGTTACTTAAAAATTAAAAATATTTGAAAATACTTAAGATTTTTACAACATTTAGGAAAGAAAAGTATTCTGTGGCATTACCAACTGAAGTCTTTTAAATGAGAACCTACAAGTTTCAGTGCAAATTACAAAGTGAATGATTTTTTTTTCTGGAAATGTTGACGGAATGTAATTGAAATTTGAAAGAAAAAATGTTGAGCTATTTTACTTTAGAACAGTAAGGATAACAATCTACAAATAATTATTTACACGGTGATCTGTGTTTTCATAGTGCTCTACTATTCCACCCAAACCATACTTAAAAATGTAATATCTTGTCAATAACAGATTAACGAAAATTAAAAATGTCAACACAAAAGTTTATTTAAACTAATACTCCACCTATTTAAGGAATTTTTAATATAAATCTTTAAATGAAAAACCCAAGTTGGTATTATCAGAGAATACTCCTTAAATGCTGTGAATAATCATAGTATTAACAAATATTAACTTTAACTACTTACAAATTCCAAAAATCAAAATTTTAATATATAAAAAAGCAGAGAACTATAAAAATGGGATGGGTATGCTTAATAAATCGCTGTAGTATATATATTTCAATTAATCTCTTTTGTAAAATACTCATTATCCCAGATAATATTGAAGTTCTAAAACATTATATTTTTGTCATTCTTTTGACTCTTATTTTAGGCAATGAAACTAATATCAACGTTTGGTTTTTAAATAACAAACTATATACAAATTTCTAAAAATAGATTTAGTTGAAATAAATGTTTACATTTTTAATATCATCCTTCAACTGGTTTCCTAACTATACCACTTAAAGTTTGGTAATTTAACTGGTAAAAGAGAATAGTGGAGTATCATTTGTGTGGCAAATTTAAATAGTGCTCCCAACCTAACCTTACTGCACGTGATTTTTATCTATATTTTGAAATTCCAAAAAAATGTTTTACAAGTTTTCTAAGTAGCTGTTACTAAATATTTGTAAATAAATCTCAAGAAACTTACCGTTTAAATTTTGCTATGTCTTTAGCAGTAAATTTTTTCAAACTAACTTCTAACCTGCATACAAATGCGTCCAAGAACATACGATCTACAAATTTTTTGGTATACATGTGCATTCGCGTTCTGTAACAAAATTATAAACAATTAATCAGATGTAAAAATTTAATTTATAATCTCTTATTTATATTAAAGCCTTCTTTTAATATTAAAATATAAGATAAATAGAGTTTTCCGATGTCATTTTTAAGCTTAATTCATAAAGACACAAATTGAATCTTTTTCTGACAATAAAATACAGTCATCTTAAAATTACATTATTGAAGTTATGACCTTTGCAAATTACCCAGGCGTTATGTTAGTTAAAGAGTCTATACCCCATCCTTTTAAATCAATGGTCTCAAATTTAAATGACCAATGGGCCATATTATTAAATATACCAAAGGTTCTCGGGCAAAACACCTTTTTATTTATTCATTTTAATACTAAATATATAAAATAAACAAAATAATTCAATGCAAAATGTACTTTTTTTTATTGATTATAATTATTACAAAAATGTACATTGTACAGAGTATAGATTTAATTGTTCAATAATAATTATAATTTATTTTTGAGCTGTTACTTGATATCTCTTATTTTGTACCAGACAGTCAATATCTTTGAAGCACTGCTCAACGACTAACTAAACCATCTTACTTCACTATAATATATCAAACAACCATACTGAGCATCTATTTCCTTGAGTAGTGCACTAATTTGTTTATGGTTTAATGTACGAGATCGAATCCAATTTTAATACAGTTTTAATAACTATACCCATAACATGTTCCACTTAATTTTTTTTTTAACAAAAGGATTCTTTCTAATCTAAAAATTAAGAGAAAGCCATAAATATTATTTAGATGCAATTACATAGTTACATAATAACACCGAATTTAATACTACAATTTTTAAATTTTTCAAATTTCCACAGTAAGTTTCAATGAAAAAAACATTTTTAAGCTTATATCCCTATATAATTTCACTAAATTAAGTGATAAGGATACATAATATGTGTTTGCTGATCCACGTGACGTTATAATGCATACGATGTGTGGCTATTAAATAATGAGACTGGTTACGAAAAAGTGTTTTATTATAAAAATTATTCTACATTCAAATGCTCCCCTCCCATCGCCACACACCTTTCCATAAGTTTTTTTCATTGATCAAAGCAGTGCTGGAAGTCTTCTTTGGTGAGGGCTTTTAGGAGCTCTGCCGTTAAAGCAGTGCTGGAAGTCTTCTTTGGTGAGGGCTTTTAGGAGCTCTGCCGTTTTTTGCTTAGGAGCTCTGCCGTTTTTTGCTTTACCGCTTCCATCGATTCAAATCGGGTCCCTTTCAAAGCAGATTTTATCTTAGGAAACAAAAGAAAGTCGCATGGTGCCAAATCTGGCGAGTACGGCGCGTGTTCGAGCACTGGAGTGCGCTTAATATAAATATATTAAATTAAATACTGGCCAAATACTGCTTCACAGATAGCGCGTTATGGGCAGGTGCGTTGTCCTGGTGCAAAATCCACAACTCGGGACGTTTCTTACGAACTCTTTCTCGCAGTGTTGCCAAAACTGATAAATAGTAAATCTGGTTGACAGTCTGACCCTCTGGAACCCATTCAGTCATCACGATGCCGTTGATATCGAAGAAAACGGTTTTGAATTTGGATTACGACTGAATTGGATTCCGGTGCACTCTCGACCTTCAGAAAATAATTTATGCCACTCAAAAACACGCGCCCGAGATAGGAAATCCTCACTATAGGCCTCTTTTAACAACTTATAGCACTCAGTTGGAGTTTTTTTTAGTTTAACGAGAAAATTTTACGTTTATCCGTTGCTCATGTTTTTCGTCACACATGGTTNCGCAAGAACTTTTGGTCAGGAGTCAGGTTTTTTGGCACCAACTTCGCACAGACTTTTGTCATATGTAATTCCTCATGTAAAATTTTTCTAACCGTTTCTTTATCGGCGTTTACAGCCTCGGCAATCATCCGAATGCTCATTCGACGATCTGCACGCACAATTTGGTTGATTTTGGTCACTGTTTCCGGAGTTGAAACAGTGACAGGGCGACCTGGGCGCTTGTCATCTTCAGTGCTCTCTCGGCCCTCACTGCAGCGCTTATACCACTCAAAAACACGTGCACGAGATAGAGAATTGCCTCCATAGGCCTCTTGCAACAATTTATAGCACTCGGTCGGAGTTTTTTTCAATTTAACGAGAAATTTGAGATTGATACGTTACTCCTGTTTTTCGTCACACATGGTTTTCGGCACGAGAAAAAAACACGTTCGTTTCAAACCACAACTGCACAAATACAATAATAGTGACGAAAACGTGTTTTGGTACGTGCATAGATAAGATATCTAGATACCCAACGCATAACTCGTTTTTTTTACTACCCCTCTAGGGCGTCCTTTAGGCGAGTAGTCTCGTTATTTAATAGCCACGCCTCGTATTTCAAACTACAAATTTTGCTTTTCCAAGTTTTGCTGCATTCTCGTATTGGTCTCGTCAATCTTCATATTCAGTGTAACCAAAAATTATTTCTGAAGTCATCGAAATATTGAAATTAAAACTATTAAAAATGAAAATTATCTACTATTTGATTTTGTATATTATAATAGTTATTATAACCATTTATTCTACTCTTTAATTTCAAACTTAAAATTTCTATGACAAAATATTTTTAAATGGTAGAAATGTGCTGTTATTTATGGTATATATTAAGTATCATTTCATCAACAGTCAGTGAAAGTTGGGCGGAGTTCATGCTGGCACAATTGATATATCACTTACAAGTAAAAGAGGTAATATAATGTTATATATAGTTTAGTTCTTATATTTAGGACACTTTTTTTGTTACCAGATGGTCTATAGCCAAAACTAGTTGTAAATTATATTTAAATATTAGATGTTCCACATAGTTTTTCTGGTAAAGAGTAGTGAACAAATAAAAAAATGTCTCCCGTCTTCTCATTTCCACTCCCATCCCTAGAACAGCCACAGTAAAACATTGTTGCCCGGTAATTTATTTTTAAAAATAGTATTTCCTTGTTCATGACAACCAACTAAACCAATAACTATTAACTGTTTGTATTTTCAATTCCGGGTTACCAAGGTAATCCATTAATCGACCTGAAAAAAAGTAAATTGTTTAAAAAACCCAGCTTTGTCAAGTATTCTCTAGGGCTTGACTTTTGGTAACCCTGATTCGATATACACACGGCATGGCCCTATTTGTAAATTGTCAGACCTCTGCAACGACAAATTCAACTAAGTACAGCATTTTCATAAGTACAGACAATTCATTGTAGGATATAAATGTTATTTAAGAGAACACTACATCTCCATTCACTATCTTAGTCTTAAAAATGTATGCCATGGTAGTTCTGCATTCGGCAAGAACAATTTGTTTTAACGTTAAAGTAAATTGACTTATTATCAAACTTAAACAATAAAATAAAGTCTGTGCAACAGCATAGGTTTGATATTTTAATTTTTAAGCATTGTTATTGGGAGAGTAGAATATTATAGGTATTTATTTGATTTAAAAACTAAATAATTAACTAGGTATGTAGCAATATGTTCAGTATTTACCATACAAAGATAAAAACCAAAATTATAGCGTTATGACTGTGCAATTTTTTTTTTTTTTTTTGCTCAGCACAGTAACAAAATCAGTTGTGATGCCAACATACCTAATTATTCAACCATGAAATTGGAATTGTAAAAATGATGAGCCGAACAAAAAAAAGATAAACTGTACAAAATATGTACCACACACATGGGGCAATAATATTATGAACAAAACCTAAAAGTATAAAAAAAAGAAAATTGATAAGTTTCTTCAACTGATTTAAAATAAATATTATTATTATTATTATTATTATTTTTAAGACAGTTAAGTATTAATTTCAAACAAGCCTATGCAACTTCCTATCCTAGATCATGGTATTTTAGTTAATAGTTCGAAATAGGATTTACATTTTGGGCAATTTGTTCGTTTTTTGATTTAGTAACTTAAATACCCTACAATATAATATTTGAAATAATCAAAAATAGGGGCTAATGAATAATTATGTTCAAATATGCCAGTAAACTCCCATTTATCTTCTCATTTATAATATTGTCTAGTCTTATTCTAAGTTTTTCAAAAACTTAGAAATCATTATTAGAATATATACTTTTTATGTCAGATATTTTAATAAGATTCTCTCTGAGATTATCTCTCTCTACAGTACAGTTTCCATATTTTGAAGGTTTAAATATAGAATATGCTAATAATTTATATACTTGTAGGAATCTTGCATACTTTTATGCATTAACCATTATGATCTATATGTTTGTGTTTATCATAAATTTTGCAACTAGAGCGTGCCACTAGAGTGGGACCCACAATTGGGGCTTACACCACGATCTTATTTGCACTATTTGTATAGATTTAAATTTCATCGCCAAATAGCGCTTTCAGAGCGGGCCCTATCGAAGAGGACAATAAGAGCATCACTTCTGACACAGACTTGTAAGACCTAATAATCTAAGACCGTGGTTTCCAAGAAAAAAGCAATAATAAAACTTAATGAAATATGGCAACGTTCACTTCTATCAAAATCTAGCAACGTCGATGCCGTGGCCCAACTGAATGTCATTAAAAACACACTGATAAAAGTTGATGGCCACAGTTAGATTAAGAATAAGGGCGTTTTCACATTCACCGATATTATCGGGGTCGATTGAAGTAAAATTGTGTTGTTTTATAAATGGACGGTTTTCACATTGACACAGATCTGATAAAAATATTAAATAAGTGTGATGATACTGGTGTGCACATGTCGGACTGATGACCAGTATCGGAAGATATTTTTATCATTCCGATTTCATTGACCAATACAGATAGTAGGTTTTCACCACATGACAGATAATATTGTCGTGCCGAAATAGTTTTATCAATTTTCTTTAATTTGTTCATTATTTTGATAGAAAAGAATAAAGATAAATACCTGGTTGATAAAAATATAATTATTCAACTTTTTTTTTCATTATTATTTTTAAAATTAGTTCTTCATACGATATTCTAACATTAATTGAATTAGTGGAATCTAGGCCAATTTTTTGGGACAAAACATCCACACAGTACAAGGGCAGAACAAAAAAACGTAATACATGAAACAAAGTGATACTACGAACTAGTATTTTACGAAACAGTGTACACGTACGAACTGAGTACGAAAATCGGTGATCAGGTGATATCGTTCCCCACCGTCGACGATAATATCGTTGATTTGTGAATACGCTCTAAGGAATAATGATGGGAAAAAAAATTACTTATCTATCCAAAAGGTCAGACAACTACGACTCGTTTGAGAGAAACAAAAAGCAACCAACTATCAAGCAGATGACGTCAACGGCACACACTTCCCGGTAATGAAACCAAATGAAACGTGTGCAAAATAATATTAATCATAAACAAAATAAAATAATATCAAAACGTTTTATAAAAAAAATACGCACCGTTACAAGTTTATATGTAGTCAATAATATGCATTAAATAACTTTAGTTTATTCGTATTAATATGTTTGTTTTTACACAGGGTGTAATGAGGGTGTAACTCCACGCAAATGTAACACACGATAAAGATCGTAAATCGAAAAAGTAATTTTTTGATATCCAAAGTAGTTTTCATAATAATTTTTAAAAACCCAAAAAGAACGAAAAACGATTTTTTCAAATTATGGCTCAACAATTTCATTATTTCAATTTTTTAAGACTATATTTTTCTACCAGAAATCTTTGTTCACATTCAAAGAATAACATTTTCTGAAAATAAATTTTGTCTAGTTTCTATGTGAAAAAGTCATTTGATTTCTGGTATAATATTCCTAATAATTACGATTAGTCAATTTTCATTTAACGAATTTTCCTAATTAAAATATTTCATTATAATTCATATTTACAACTTTCCCATTTCCACGTTCACAAATCAATAGCATTACGTGCAAAGCATATAAACTACTGGGATTTAGAGGATTTCAAGTGAATTTAAATTTACCGGTTCACTAAAATCCCCTGTACTGCGCTCTCGTCAGACTGATTCTTGAGTACGGTTCGGTGGTTTGTATTCCTACGGTGCTGATTTGTATCAGCAGCTTGAAAGCGTCTAAAGGAAATTTCTGAACTATTCCAGTTATGATTTAAACATACCCTACACACCTCACAATTATTCTCCTATCCAAATCAAACTCAAAGTATCAAAGTATCTTCTTTAGCAGACTATTGTTACTCTCACAATGTCCTTCCTAAAAAGACTTATCTCTTCCGCCATTGATTCTCTCTCTCTTTTTTCACTTGATAATTTTATAGTTCCTATATGACCTACTCGCTATACAATTTCTTTCTACGTTCCTCTTTACACAACGAATTATATGCTGAATCAACCAATCAATCAGCTAATGAAACTAGAAAAAATGAGGACCACCCCTATTTCCTTAATATATAATTATATTTTCCATTCTTATTTTTACTATACTAAATATTATGTTATGTACCTTATTAATTAGACACTAGCCCATTTATATATATATATATATATAACACATAAAATAAACATATACACATAAAATAAAAAATAAATAATAAAAACCACTTGGAAAATCAAAAAAATAGTTTTCATAAAGTACCATCTATAAAAAAATTTCCCTTCAGAAAATATGCTACACTTTTATAAACATCACAGTAAAACCAATACATTCCTCCCTTAACCCCGAATATAAAAGAACTTCTTCACTACAAGAGCAATAGATCGCAATGGGCTAACACAGCACTCTTCAACCACTGTTGTGTACCACAAATTTTATTTCTTTTTAAGGCCACATGTTTTCTCAACGCGTTCTAAGAAATCGCACTTCCAAAATGAATAACGCGCAGCATATAACGCGCAGCATATAACGCACAGCAATCGCAGGTTAATTTGAGTACACATACGCATGTATTCAAAATAGACTACAATGAATGTTCATTGTCATTTCTTGGTAGAGTGCAGTGTTGCTATGTAGATGAAATGGAAAATCTCACCAAAAAACCAATATTTCTCTAATTTACTAAAATTTCCCATTAAACCTTTTATCTAAACTTCCCCGATTTTTAATGACATTAATCTAATTTCCTCACGAAAAAAATGTCTTACTATTATGCATTCTATTATTTTCCAAATATATACATTATTATATAATAAAATATACGTTTAAAAAAATTTAAAAAACAAAATTTAAATGTTCTTGTTTAACAAGAATTCAAATTTATAATTTAATAACTGTTGTAAAAAAAAAACTAATTTATAAATTAAAATAAAAAGTTTGTCATTCTATGATAAATAAAAATAAAAACTATGTTTTAAAATTTAATTTATATAGTGATATATAACAGCAAGTCAATTTGGGAAATTATAAATTCACAAAATAAAATCATATTAACTTATCTTGTTAAAAAACGTAGTCACTTCAATATGGTCAGTGATAATAATGTTTTTGTGTGTGTATGTATATGATACAGATGCATAGATAAAATAATAACATAAGTTTTCAGAATTCATAAATGTTATGAATAATATGTACACCTCGTGGTTTGTTATCCGCCATATTATTACATAATATCGCGCATGTGCAATGGAAACCAAATTTCAATCACTGGTCGCGCCACAATCGAATCCCTAATTTTGCGAATAGCGAATATTAACTATATGCCATATTATTACAGTGATGATGGGCTTGGTTATGACCACGTGGTTACGAAGGGCGGAACAAGCAGTGGTAGGGGAGAGTATAAAAACCGACCAAGATAGATCTTTGGCTAAATAAATAATTGATAATTGTGTAAAATTAAAACGTTTAAAACGGCAAAATGAGAAAATCTATAGCGATCGATAATAATGAATTAAGGAAAGAACAAGATGGAAAACGTCAAGTAGAGCGCGCGATAACCTCAAACATTCGAAAGTAAAATGGCGGACACATTTTCATATTTTGAATCACTCACCGTTAAAAGATATTTTATACTACGTACCTTTTTTTCTCGGTTATCTCTCTGACGAAATAATAATCGCAACTATTTGTGACTAGCCTGAACGCACACATCTGCCGGTTGAGAAATTCGTAACGACAGAAGAGAAAGCGAATGGCGTGCACCGAAAACGCAAGAACTCGAAATGGCGTCGGTCACTGGCCCTGAATTGTCAAAAACGCGACGCGAAAAATGTAGTGGGGGGGAGGTTACGCGGTCGGTCGGCCGGCAGCCGGTTTAGAGCGTGGAACTTCGGAACGGCGTGCCGATACAACGGTCCGGGAGGGGCAGAGCGCGGTGCGGCGTATAGAGGACGGCCGCCGTTACACGACGTTGTGCCGAGAAACGGCGCCGCTGTGTCGGGGAGGGGGAAGTGGACGTGGTAGCGTTGCCGGTCCGTTCGAACGTGGTGCGGCGTTGCCGAGACGTCGCGTTATCGATAGAACCACGTGGGTACAGGCGGCAGCGACAAATCACAACGCGCAGCGGACAAACAAGTCGACGGCGCAGCGGGGCTATGCTGCGGGTCGTGTGCCGCGATGGTAAAAATGAAATAAACGGCGACCGTCATCCGGTCTGCACAATATGCGCGCGCGCACGTCGTATAATAACAACGACCGAATAATCATACAGACTTGTAAATATACGTGATATTATTTGTCTGAAAACCGGTGGACGATTATACAATATACGAACGATAACACACGTGGGCATAACTATCAATAATATTACGTTTATCGCGGGCGTTTATATGGTTCGTCGAATTTATTGTTCCGTCCATCTTTAGTAATCGGCTATCAAATTGTATAACATTGAGATGATATTAAATACGTTGCGTCCTGACGATATTTAACGCGAACGTTCAGTTCAGTAACAATGATATTAATGACGACGATAATAATACATACATACATACATACCTACCTACCTACCTAACTACCTACCTAACTACCTACCTACCTAACTACCTACCTACCTACCTACCTACCTACCTACCTACCTAACTAACTACCTAACTACCTACCTACCTACCTACATTGTATTGCGAAACAGACGCGCGAGTTTCAACAATAGGCGCTATCCGAATGGATTTCGTACGTAACAAAAATGGTCGAATGGTTTTTTTCCCGTTAATAATTATTGATGTGCCTATACACACATTTTCCTTCCCGGTTTCACTGACCGAGGACAGTCGCTCGTACACAAATGGTGCGGGTAAAACTATGCAGATAAATATGGTAGGTATTATACATTATAAAACTTGGGTAGGTACGTAAACGTTTTAAACACGACCTCGCTGTTGTTCATAAGTGTTCGGGAAAAATAAATTTATAGCCATCAAGGATACAACGTTACATCTAATCGGGTTTTTTATTTTATTTTTTTTTCTTCTAAAAAAAAAAAAAAATAATACGGTCTATACTTACCTATTATAGCTTATGCGTCCATACTATAAGCCGACTATATTATAGGTTCTGCAATTTCAAACTGTTACGTGGTTTTACACTAACCAAGTGGAAATTTATTAATATTAGGTTGGTAGGTACGTTTAAACGGTGACCAAATCAAGGAATTTCCAACAAAAAATAATTGTTAGATTGGTATTTACATTAATAATTAAGGTGTCGAAGACTGGGCTAATTAACCAGATATTAAACGGTACGTATTAATAATATCGACAAACGTAAAACAATATTATGGAATAATTATTATTTTTGCGGAAGCAACTTGGAAACCAGTATAGAAAAAAAAACAGTAACAATTCGGGTACGCGCGTCGTCGTAGCAACGTATTGTTTTTTTTATCTAGACGTGATTCGCATGCAGCTGTCGTTCGCAGTAGTCTGTAGGTACGCGTAAAACGCGATTCGGACGGGAAAATCGGCAACTTATAATATTTTTATTATCGTTGGGGGGGTTTTTTTTCTCTTTTTCTGTACGGCGTACAAAAATTCTACCGGAAATCTTGTTCCGATTTTCAAGTGTAGCACACATTTTCTGAAAGGAAATTTTTCCGGGACCGAGGTCTTTTTTTTTTTTTTAAAATTTCCTTACAGTCGTCGAAATAATGGAATTATTATTTTATGGACATTTTAATTTTGCGAGTTTTGGCATGATATTCATTCGGTAGATAGGTACTCTGCGGATAAAATTGTTAGACCAAATAGAATTAATGGTTGATAATTGAACAGGAGGTTCATTAGAAGTTGTACTTAGTGGTCAACAAGGAAAAGTAGAGTTTAATGTAGTATTTATTTATTATTTATTTTTTTTTTTTATAAGAATTTTAATATGAAATTTTGACGAAAATTGTAAATATCACGGCTATTTAAAACATGTATAACCGATATTCGCTCAGAATCGTTTTTCGTTAGCAATGATTAATCGATAAAGTACATTAAATTCCCAACTTATCACCTACAACAGTGGCCCACCCGTCGTGCGAAGTATGTCAGTCAATCTGTTGTTTTTTTTTATCCGCCGCATAAATACATAAATAAAAACTAATATTTTTTCAATGCGTTCACGAAGAAAAACACGCATCGAATATACCGTGTTAAACGTACACGACAATATTCTTCGACAATTATTATTATTATTCGTCATTTGATAGTTGATAGGTTAGGTTACATCGGTGGCAAGAGAATTTCGAACAAAACTCCCAAATATCCCAAATTTGAAAGGATTTCAATTAATTCTTATTTAAACATATTCAAGTTTGAAGTCTAATAAATGCAAGGATAATTAACTCGACTGGAAACACTCGTTATATCGGAAAATATTAAATTTTTTCGAAATTTGTTTTACAGAACATTTAAAAGAAACAAGCAGCTCTACAATTTTACATTAGTGTTAATGTTTTGTCAGTCTTATTTTTGGAGACGAAACGACTACCTACTTTTGATTTTTATTTAGCAACCTATATTGAAAATACCCTAAACAAACACGGAGTATTAATTAAAATACATTTTAATGCTAACATTTTTGATTTCCGTCAACCAATTGACGAAATTTACGGTTTTTAAGTTTAGGTCGGGTGAGAGTACTGGTGCATTATTACAATGCCGCGCACCGTGACGTCACACAAATGTTTCTTTACTACTTTTCCCTACCCAAACTTAAAAGTGGAATACCTCGTATACGGGCTGACGGAAATCAAAAATTTCAACACAGACATTCATTTAAATTAATACTCCGTCTATTTATACCATTTAACAACCAAAAGGTAGTCATTTCATCTTCAAAAATAAGGGTGACAAAAAAAATAATGATAATGTAACATTTTATAACTATTTTTTTCAGTTTTGAAAAAAAAAGGCAAAACAGTTATTACTTTCCAAGATTATGAGTGTTTCCAGTTAAATGAATCACTCTGTATATACATTTTTTTTAGTTGCATTGGTTAAACAATCTATAGTTTAAAAAGCTTTAAAAATATTTGATAATTTATTGATGCTTATTCAGATTGTTCTAAATATTTATATAATATGATCAATTACCTTGTTCTGATTTTTATAATTTCTTTCTGTATATTTTTTTTTTTTTAAATACATTTCACAAAACTGCAATTGTTTCTTTATTTCAGTGGTACTCAACCTTTATTTATTCGTGTCACCCTTAACCACAATAATCCAAAACCGAGTTGTCCTGCCAATGCATAGTCCATTAAAATTATAGGAAATTCTAGCAATGGTATCGTTAAAAAGTGAGTGATTGGCACGGAATATTATGATGATCTAACCGTGTTGGTGGTTAGATGAAAGTGAAGACAATAATATGATATTATTCTAAACAATTAAAAATTCTTTTATTTTTTTGCTTTTCTCGATGATTTTGTGTCACTGAGTACACTGAGTCCATGTCACCCCGGTTGAGAACCACTGCTATTAATTTAAATGAAATTATAATTTAATAAGTCTCAAAACAATAGGAAGATGCATAAGAATCAAAATTTAAAAATAAAAAACATTTAAAATATGGGCGAAAGTAAAAACACTCACACTTGAAGAAATATTAAGAAAAAAAGCAAATATATATATATTTTTATCAGTGCACTCTTCAGATGATGTAAAAATTGATTTCACATAGAATTAGCTAATAAATAACATCAATTTATAATGAATATTTTATCAATTATTTATTTTTTTCAAAAATTAATAACAAGATAACAAGGGAAGAATTAATAAACGGTATACTTGATTATTGCAAAGCAAATTTGATGACAATTATTAATAATTATCCTTATTTTAAATTTAAAGATAATTTATATTTAATAATAATTTTGTAGTAATTTAATTCTGTATTTTTAATAAGAAAATTAATTACAAGTAAAAAAAAAATAAGTATTCTAACTTATACTTAGATGTAGAAAATATCAACACTCAAAATAATAATACCTAATTAAAAATTGTTAAATTTAATTTATCTTATAGATCTTTCTTTATCAAATTTAAATATTTAGTAGTTATAATGTTCCTTTCAAAAACACTTAGTTTTTATTAAATTTAAAAACAAAAATGTATTGCTTACCTATATATTGGAATAACATGTCTATACATTACTAAAATAATTTAATTTAAAACATGATACCTACCTACCTACCTACCTGCAGTTGTAATACCTATCTATTACACATTAAAACTAATAAAAACTAACAATAGTCTATTTTAATATTTAATTCAAGATTTCAACTTAAAATTATTGTACTGAAGAAACTGAGATTCTTAAAATATTACAATCGAGTACAGTTTTTTAATTTATAAAATAGCTGCATCATTTGTTTCCATGCAATTTGTTTTGATAAATAAATAACATCTTTTAACTCAAAATGTACCTACCTAAAGTAGGTTCTAGAATATAAAAAAATGTTTAAGTGATGGTAATACAATTATATTTGTTCATAAGGTATACATTTTTTAAATATTTTTTTAGTTAGAATAATGAATTATTAATAAAATTGTATTATAATTTAATAATAATATTATTACTAAACATTTGTAAAATATGAATATTAAATAATTTATCAACAAAATGGGACTATAATTGTCAAAATGCTTTTTTGGCAATAAAAGCAAAAATTACATTATGGTGAATACTATTTTGATCTTTTTAATAAAAAAAAATTATTTATGTAGGTTGCATTTTTTTTTTTTTTAAATTATTTAAATATGTATCTACTATTAATTCATTTTAAATTCATATTAAATAACAATATAATTATAATCAATAGGCCATACATTTATTTTAATTTATAATCAAAAAATGATAAGGAATTACTTCAAAGCTACAATATTATATCACATTTGATATACTTCCAATATACACTCATATTTTTTTTTTTTAATTACTGAAATCTTTATTGTGATATACCTATGTTATAATATGTATGCAATTTTTTTCATTTGAAAGGACTTATATATTTCAGGTTAGGTTAACTACAAACAGAAATAATTATTTTCAATAATTTTTTATCGCCAAACAGTCATATTCCCACACAAAATAATAGAGTCATTCCTTGAAATACAAATATAGAAATCATTTTCAATAATATTCAAGAGACTATACTATAAAAAGTAAAAAGTGTTAATCTTACATTATTAATTATCATACATTTTCTATTTTACCATTGATCTCATACCTTATTATTATTCTTATACCTTCCCTAAATCAATTCACTAAGATATTATAAAAAGAAATATAATATGAGTTATTTCTGATAACATATAACCTAATACCGATATTCTTTGTCAACAAAAACAAGATTATCACTCTCATTAAAACAATAAATACATTCAAACATATTTGTTGTAAATACATATTTAGTACTTGATATATTCTAATGCATAATAATTAAATTAGGTAGATACTAAAACCAAGGCATTAACTAATATAATAAAAGATAAAATATGTCTAATTATGCCTATACTGAATATCATATTAACTCCAAGAAAATGTTAGAAATTGTTGGCCCACCAACATTAATTGGCCTGAATATATTTTTATTTTTTTTATTAACTAAGTGTTACTTTGTTAGGTCTGCGTGTCATCAATGTTTAAAACTACTAGATAACCCAGTGTACGATTAAGAAAAGCCTGGTTCACATGATCAACATTTTTCAAAATATTTTAAGTGTCATACTTGGTGGAAAAAATATTTCAAAAAAAGACAGACATACTTTGCACGATGGGTGGACCACTGTTGTAGATGAGGAAGTTGGGAAGGTAAGATAAAGAGAGGAATTTAATGTATACCTGTAAGCAAAGATGAATAATCATTGCTAACGAAAAATAATTCTGAATGAAGCTCGGTTAATAGTATTACTTTTTCAACAATATATAAGTTATATTATAATAAAATAAATATAATAAATTTAAACAATTAGTATGAAACAGTTACTAGATTTATTCCACATAACTTTTTACTAAAACAATTTTTGTTAAATTTGATATTAAAATTCTTATTAAAAAAAATACTATATGAAACTTAATTTTTTTTTTGTTTTTACCACAAAGTACCACTTCTAATGAATCTCCTGTTCAATTTTCAAGCATTTCTGTTTAGTAAGCAATTTTATCCACAGAGTACCTAACAAATGAAAATTCCTCACAAAATTAAATAACCTATAAAAAGCTAAAAAATGACTCAAATATTTTTGCAGTTTGACTATGTCTAGAAAAGACAAATTTAATAAGTTTTCTGTCCAAATTTTATTGCACTATGAATATTATTAACTAATTTTTTTTTTTTAATTGTTCACAAAAATGTTGACAAAGTTTGTTTTTTTTAAACTAGAAATAATATTTACAAAATTACATATTTTTCATAAACTGAAAGAAAAATTAAAAATGTAGGTATCTAATAGTAATTTAGAGGCATGGTTTACTAATTCCTTTTATTATTGACATGAAAAAGAGATAAATCTTTACAAATACAATATAAATATTACTGAATCAATACTTTATTTAGATTAAAGTTAAATCAATAGCATACAAATAAGTGTTTAATTTAAAATAATTCAAAGGTATCAAACTTATTAAATTTTCTCCTGACATACAAGGTATGAATAATAATAATAAAAAAACTTAATCGTACATTAATCACCTTACCAATCATACTTTGCCTTACCAATCCTTACCTAGCTTTACCTTACCTTACCATAACCTAACCTACCAATCTAGAAGTATTCACCACTTAAAGCCTACCACTAAATTATTTTATGGGAGCAAAGATGATAACAAACCTATCATTAATCACATGGTTAACAAATCCTTCAAATATTTTACCCTGTGAATCCAATTTAAGAGGTATGAAATTTGTCAAATACTATACTTTAAGGACATATTATGTAGATAGATTATCCTATAAAATACGTACATTATAAATTATGTGATATATAGTAAAAATTAATTACTGATTAAAATTCATAACAATTGTACATAGTTTTTATATTATAATATAGATATTACATATAATGAGATTGGTTTCACTTCTTTTATACATTTTTTTGCTTTTCTGTAGTCACTTGAGATCCTTATCTTATAATTTATGACACAAACAAATATAATTTGTGAATTAATTGTTTACCAACACTGCAGCTCTTGCTCTTGACTAAAGGTTATTGCAACGATACTTTATTTTACACAATTAATGATTTTATCATACATAAAAATAATAAAACAATTTACATCAAAATTTAATCTTAATGGTTTTAAGAAAAAATGACTCTATGAGTTCAACTATTTTATTTTGATCTCAAAGTACGAACTATTATGAATGTGTTGTATTTTATTTTCAAACACTTATGTTTTGTAAAACTTTTTTATCCATATAATACCTACCAAACAAAAGATGTAAAAAACTCCCAAATAAGAGCCTTATAGTATTATGATTAAACATTTATGACTCATTCAGATTTAAAATCATTAGAGATGAGATAAAAAATAACCCAACAAAGGTGTTTATTATTTTATGTTATTTACTTTTACACAAATATCAAAATCAACAAAATATTCAAGTCATTGTATATTATAATATTATAGACCACCATAGTTGAAAAATGCTCACAGCAAACAACGCATATTTTGTTCAACGTACAGAGGAGCTCTATAATCAACTGGGACATAAGACCAGATTAGATCATGGTCTTATCATCAATTTTTGGATAGGTATAAAATGTTTTAACTTCAAAGTATCAAGTGTATTATTTAGTGTATACTAGTAACACCACATTTAATTTTTACAAGGTGTTCTGTAACTCCCTAAAAAATCATCAGTATTTAATTGGAATATTAAAGTTTTTGTGTATAAAAAATGTAAATAATTTTCTTATAAAAAGAAATAATAGGGATTACCCGAAGTATAAGTATTATTTTTAAACAGAAAAAAAGGGATAGTAAGAGGTAAGAATGCCCCTTACTAAGATTCCTATACACATGATACTAACAAATAGACAGAAGGAAAAAAAGAGTACATAAACTGAATGTAATAAGTCATAAAACAATTTTGTTTAATAGTAAAACAATAACTTAACATTTTAACTCTGAATTTCGAATTTTCTTGATAATTTTGATATTATAGCCTACGCTATGATAGACAAAAAACGGCCACTGATGTGATACTATTTATAATCAGCTAGATTCTTGGCTGCTAGCTCTCATGTAGCGGTATGAGATAATGCAGAGTTAATAAATTAAGATATTATCTCATCTCTTTATCGTTATTAAAATAATTTAATATTCAAGGTCAAAATAGAATTTGCAGGATTTCATAACTCGATATTTTCTCACACTGTCACTAACGGTCAAGAATCCAACGGAATCTCAATAATAATTTCGGTGGACGTTTTTTCCTAGGTCGTTGGGCTTAACTTAGGCAACCAAAGTATCTATGATCGTGTCACAAACTAAGATATTATCTTAATTTGAACAATACCCTGAGTTAAGGAATAAACAATAACAGTCTATATAATAGTATTTTCCTCTTTCACATTCTGAGTAGCAACTGCGTATGGGTGTGGCCTAGAGTCTATAATAAGGGAGTGACCACCGGGTCTTTTATCAATAGATACAGACCGCAGCACGTTGTGTCAATTTTCGTAAAAACATTGTTATTAGAATGGATTAAATTCTACACTCTATTCGACATTAGTTTGAAGAAACTCGCGTAAGCATAAATGCCGCCGGAACGGTCGAACCGCTGTAATTGGCTGTGGCCGTCGGCATCTGTCGTTTCTTATCGCGATCGGGCGGTCGCTGCGGCGCACCGCCGTGTTTACAGCGTATCGTGGTGTAGTTCGTTCGGTATACGCAGAGTGCGAAATGTTGATAATACAACTCACTACGTATATTCGTTGTTTTGACGAGTCAGTTTATAACCGCGCTCAACGTCGGCAACGCGACCCACCTGCGCGAACAATGACGTGTTTACGTCGTACATTTCTCCTAACCGATATGGAATAGAGTATAGTTAGCAGAAATAATGAAATTCCCCGGAGATATGATTTCGTTTTGAAATTTCATCAATAATTGAGATAAACGATTTGGGTAATTTAGACGCTGACCGAAAACATAAATTATCGGTTTGCAAAAATTTAATTCACATCCAGTAATTTTATGATTAATTTTTAATCATTAAATGTTAAATAGTTTCGTTATTATTATTAAGACAATTTAATCTACAACAAACTTCACTGATTAGTGTAACCACTAACTACTTGAAAGTTTACCAATTTAATCAATCTGCGTAAGTGTGTTTTTGTTATATTGCCCGTCGGTTGGACTGAGACAGTAAATTCGATAATCACCCCCTCTTAACTAATAAATATATTACATAGGTAATTGAATTTGCACAAGTTCTGTAAAACGTATTTAAATAATAAAAACGTAACGAAGTGTAATTCGGAGCTTGTGGTAATTTGAAGAAATCACGTAAAGTACCTACTCATATTTTGAAAAACTTGGTATAAAATTATAAAATATTAATTGATAAGAGTGGACAAAATTTTATCATTGATAACGGGAACCAATCAGAAATGACGAAACCAGTGGCCATTTTCCTATTATGCATAGACGTATGTTTTCCTACCTACATAATTTTGCCTACATCATTTTGCCACTGATGGCAAAAACCGATGTCGATCTCTAAATGATATTTTTTATCGCAAAGACTTTTCTGTGGCATTTCGGGTATCTACTGTTATTTTTAACTGAATGAAAACAAAAATCAAAAAACCTGCTTTAAATTTCGTCACGGTTTTTCCCAATAGATATGAACAACATAAGGAAAATCAAAAATATAATCTCCCCAATACATCAAAACATCAGGACAAAATTTGCTTTAAAAATAATCTTAATGATCGGAGCGTGGCTTCTTCTGGTTTAAAAAATCTTTTAGACACACAGAAAAAAAAAAATGCACGCTATACTAAAACCTTTAAATGACATAACTAATACATAATATAAAAATAAAAAAATAATAATAAAGGACGAATGAGAAAATCATAATAATATTTATATAATATTGTAGATAGTGAAATAAATATTATATTTAAACAACAGTTTTTGACGCCGGAAAACGAAAAGAATAAACTGACCTTTGATCGTTTATTATTCGAACCACATTCCGTCACACGAAAGAGAGGTTCCCCGCGTTTCAACGAAAACCGGTCGGTGACGCGCATCCCCTCGCGCCGCTCCTCGTTTAAACCTGCCACTACAAGGCACACGTGACCTAACGGCGCGCGACGGTATTCGACGGCGGCGGCGTTAAGCTCCGCCAGCATGCGCGAAACGGTGGGTACCTTTTTTTCGCGCCACAGACAGACAGATAGATGAATAGTAACCATCTATTTCACATATAATAATATACGTACGATTAGTTCTTAACGGCATTTACTTCTTATCAGTAATAATTTGATTATTTGAATCCAAACAACAATTTAATAGTACAATTCAAAACGCACGAGTTATATTTTTAAACACTCGTATATTAAAATACAGGTATTTATTTACATATTATTAAATAAAAGATACTCAAATGAGATTTTTCTGAATGAAATATAAGTATAAAGGTACTGAAAATGTAGAATATAACGATTTTAAAGTTACTTTGCATCGCTTTTTATTTGTTTGAATCCACAATCGTACTTGATAAGGATTTTTATTAAAGACTAATCGTGCGTATAGATAATAATATTATACTAGACAGTTTACTGCTATGTACTCATACTGTACCAATGTCGCCACGTCGGTAAGTAATAGTTACCCAAATACTCTTTACAAAATTCACCAGTTTTCCTCATCTAGGTTAGGTTAGGTCTTAACATAGATATGAATATAATACAAATAATAATATTTATTAATAAAATAACATTTGGCAATTCGGATGTAAAATGCTGAAATATCAAATAGGCAATAGCTACATGAACAATGGCATTGTCTCATCCGGTTTTCTATAATCCCGAGTAATCGTAGACAATAGTCAATAACAAGTATACATACACGGGAAAGTAACAATGCAAATTTAATAATAAACAAATGAATGATTTATCATATTAACGCGGTGAAGATTAAATATTAAAATATAATAAATAATATTATATTAAACGTAGTCCAATAAGCGTGTATGATTAGTTTAAAACCACCCAATTTGTAAACGTTTTTCGTCAATTACCGAAATAATTTTAAAATCATCAGACCCGGTGACACTGTGCTGTCCGTATAAAGTGAACGGCAGCCATTCAATTCGTGATCCGTGGGCCTTATCATATACTTTTATATTTTGATAAGGATAACTATTGAATCTGTCTTTATATCATTGTTACCGCGGTGATCAAGACTGTTAACAATATTACACAGATATAACAATTATCACAATTTAAAAGTAGATGCTACGGACCATGAACCTTGAATTAAATGGCGGATTCATAGATAACATATACATAGATAGGACTTCCGTCTACCTAATGCACATGGTATATTTCTAAAGAAAATATATGTTACCACACTGGTTACTCGTGGTTATAGTAGTGGTTTATGGTAATATAGATTATCTGCGGTCATTAATATAACGTTTTTCTAAACGACTTATGAAATAATTAATAACTATTATTTATTTTATTTGTATTTTAAACAATTTTACTAATATAAAACAAATGTGTTTTAATGGTTTTACAAGTCATAACCGGATAGAACCATTGCGGTAACATATATTCACTTCCGGCATACGCCGAAAACCACCAAATGTCCAATCCATGTACACATTATCTATGGGCTGATTGAAACTCATCACCAGTTAGCAATGTAGTTTATTATGCATAATAATAATAACAACCTGTAATATTACTAGTTAGTGATAGGCGGAAACAAATGTTTATTATTACCTACTAATATTAGTAGACTTGAAATTATTTGCACAACTAACATAAATACAATTCGTAAGTCAATAAAGTTCATTAGCCGTTTGGTCGACTAAAAATTAGTCATTAGTCGGGAAAATAATAATGTGAAAGGTTAGGCTACCTAGATAACGAAAAGAAGAAGTCTGTAGGTACGAGTCAATTGTGCCTATGCCCGTCGCTAGCAGTCGACTTGTGCCTCGTGTCAATTAGTTACGATAGAAATATTGCGAACATAATAATCAAAGAAAAATACTCGTTTTCATATCATTTGTCATTATCTCCACGATTCGTGTTATTATTACACACGTCGTACACAATAAACCTTGAACCCGTAGAATAATTTTGTGTCGTTTTGTTAAATAAATAAATAAGTTCGCGATTGTCGCCCCCGCGCGATTTCGGGAACCAACAATAAACGAATAAAACCGATACCTACCAGTTCGTTCGACGGCCGACAATATTATTTCCTATAACAATTTACCGAAACAATCGCAGCTTCTGGTGTTTTCGCCGAAGACACGATACCGAGTACAGTGTAAACAATTGTGTAAACGTTGTGCAGAACGTCCCCGCGGTCGGACACAAATTGCTGCGAACTGATTTCGGTCGGTGCGATGTTTTTAAGATTTTTTATCAAAATTGTTCGTAACAATCGCTCCCGTACACCGCGCCACCAACCACGGATCGAGCTTTATTTCAAAGTCAACGGCCCACTCCCCATCGCAAACGCGGTACGACGGCGCCTCGCAATTGCGGCGTCGGGCTAAAATCGTTTTATAATGAACGAACGCGAGAACGGCGAGAAACATTACGGGAAAAACGTATCGGCCGCGCGCGGCGACTTCACGGGTCCGTTATACGAACGACGACGAAATAATAACGAAATACCGAATCGGACAACGTTTTCACCGGTCGGGTATCCGCGGCGGCCGTAAACACGTCGCACGGGCCGTCCGTAACCGCGGTTAGACGGATATCGTCGGGAAATAATTCGATTTCCGGTACATCACACGGCGCGCCGTGTAGTAAATCATTATAAACATTCGATAAACGTTATTGCGACGACCGTGTTCGGTTCGTAAACGGCGGGTACCCGCGGACAGATAATCACGCTCGTTCAACGGGAACCGCGTAAACATTTTTGATAATATCACTGGGTGTACCTACAATGCCCGCGCGATAATAAACACGGTAAAATTGTTTGTTTGTTTGTTTTTTTTTTCCGTCTTTCGTCTCCGTTTAAAACAACGACGTTCGACCGACAATAACACATCGATATGCACGCGGCAGCGAGTTAATAGTCGGCAATTAACTCGTACGGAATTACGAAGTGCCGGGGGGGGGGCGACGAATTTCGATAATAACATAGAATTAATATCTCGTATACCCCCGTCAGGTAAGTAGGTAGGCAATTGTCACACGAGTGTTTTCACGTGAACACCCAATACGAAATGCCCGCTCGGTTTTTTTTTTTTCAATTTTTCTTTTTAATCCGTAATTATATATTAATATTGTAAAGAACATTACGTTGTTTTATTACGGTCGAATGTACGTACGTACCTACCTACCTACCTACTTACTTACTTACCTACCTACCTACCTAGTGTACGACGGGTTAATATTATTATTGTGTGAAACCAGTGGTGATATTTAATTACCGTGGCTCTGGAAAATAATTTCGGTAATATTTTGTAAAAAATTATTGTTATTATTATTGTTGTTACGACGATAAGGCCACGTGCGGTAGTGCCGTCGGACGATTAGCTATTCAAATGATAAAGATTGTATTTTATTCGGAAAATCTCGCGTGAAATAATTACCTATCATCACGGTCGTAATATTTGTTGTTTTTTTTTCTTTTTAATTTTTTTTTCGCTCTAATATTTTCCCGCCAAATCACGTCGTGTCTGCGGCATATTTTATCATACTCGTATTGTTGTTGCCGTGTCGAACGACTACAACGAACCGTCAGGACTACGAAATGATAAGACAACGGGTCGATATTTTTTTTAAAAGAAAAAAATAAAAACCGTCGTAAAATCGCACGTCAAAACGTACAACACGAAACATTTTCGAATTTCTCGGCGTCAGCAATAGTACCTACAATAATCGGCGGTGCAGAAAAAAATGCGTATGCAGATCGAAAGGTAGGTATTTTATATCTATATACTTATATTTAGACAGGTAGGTAGGTACCTAGGTACTTTCGGGGTTCTCGAAAGGCCTCTCCGGTAACCGTAACTACACAGACCCGCGTACTTATAACACTAATAATAAAATATAATGAAAATAATTACTTTCTCAATACGACGCGGTTGTAATCGCGTAGAGCGTTATTTTCCCGCGGCTTTGTATTACTCAATTGTAACATTGGTGCGGGAACAAGGTCCATGATTGATGCTGTTCAGACGATATTACAATGCGAAATAATATTAACTGGTAAATTCAAAACTTCGCGACGAGCCGCTGCGTTAAATAGAACAATTCACACAACATAGATATTGTACGTGAAGAAAAATAATAATAATAATAACACAAAAAAATAATTCGTCAGACGAACACACGAAAAAAAAAAATTTAAACGTTAATCAATATTCAATACGTATTATTGATATTAATCGGCGGGGTAATATTGTTCGAAATAGCGGCAGAAACGGAAGGAATAAGTCATTAGGTACCGGGCGACGACGCGCAGGCAAATGATTACGGGATACAGAACCGTAAACGACTGGAGCCGGCCCGACCGTCGCGTGGGGTGTGTGAGGGTAGCGTCCCCTCCACAATGAACACCGCGAACGTTTGATGTTCGAAACGAGCGCAACAAAACAGATCGGTATACTCGGGTGGACGTCTCGTAAAATAACGCGGAGCGCACGGCGGGTCTACACACAACTGTTGCGGATCGAAGAAGACGACGGAGTACGCGAGCCGACCGGCCACCGGGCGGCGCGTCGTTCGTTAATCGTTCGAAACATTGTGTTCGCCAGAACAATCGCGTTCGATTGTTCGGCGCTCGCGCTATCGATGGCGTCCGCGTTACTGCCCCTCCCCCAGTTACCGTCGACGTGTTAACGAGCGCCCCCGTGAAAACTAACGTTGAACTTTAAATAATGTATTTCGCACGATATATTATTCGTTTATTATACGTTATTGTTGATATATTATTCGTTTATTTTAATATATTATATTCGTTTATTTCCGATGGACGAATATCGTTTTATCGATAAAATCACGGCGAAAAAACAAATTATCGCACCGTCCGTACACTGGACAGTATACAATAATAACCAGTGACGGGCGACACCAACAATTTAGAATTCGATACCTACTCGATACGTCATTTTATTGTTTAAAAATAAAAACAAAATACAAATATCAATATATTTATTTGTATAAAACGTTAAATAAAATAAATCTTAACTAATGTATTTAATCACAGCTACGATAATATCGACCCGCCGTCTAAACGTAATCAAATATCGACACCTATAAAAAAATCTACCTGGATTTCGATATTCGTCATTGTTGTAACCATCGAAATTATAATGCGTTTCACTAATCTATCGACTCGATCTTATCGCTACCGGTGGCCAAAAATTTGTATTTCAGTGTCGTACTGCCATGCACGATCGTTAATCGATATAACACAGACAATTGTAACTGAGTTTTGGCCAATGGTCGCGTAACAATCGAGTCTCGAATTTCGCATAACACACATTCGATTATTACACTGATCGACAAGCAATAAATTATTTTCAACCTTTTGTATCTATTCGGCGCATTCGTAAATCAATTTCATCATTTTGGGAACCCCTATTTTGAATATCGCACTGGGATAGTTAGAATTATTTCAAATCGCTTAGATGTATCGATTTAATTCGGCATACGCAAAATATTAAATTAAGTAAATATAGTAAATAAAAAATGTATACGTAAAAATAAAATTAATAAACGAATCAATGATTTGTCGATGTTCGACATTTTGATTGTGACATACCTGATGAATTTTTATTTAAATAAATAATAAATAATAAAATATTTAAAAAAAATTAAAATGTACCCATCCATATTATGTTTAAAAAAATATATAATCCTTGGAAATATTTTTTGTTTTAAATTTTTTATTCTTTTTTATCAAGTATACATTAAAAACAATTTAAACAATAAAACAGTAATACACTAATGCCTACCTGTAATCAGCCTTCCTTTTTAGTAATTAATGTAATGGTATATTAATATCACAACACGTTATGACATTAAATTTCAGTGTACCTACTTACTGTATATTTGCCTGTATTATTTAAAATAAAAACATAATTGATATCAAGCATTTAACGATTAAAACAAAATGATATGCAAAACAACTTGTGCACATCATAGAAATATAACGAGATAATTGTTAATTTAATTTAGTAATAAATTATAATATTATATAATATATAATATTGTTAGAGGCAGGTACCTACTATGTTAATAGTTTTAATAAAAATTGAACAATAAAAGTCAAATATTGAAAATTATATAATTTAATGCAAAGGTTCCAAAATGTGGGTCGCGTTATATTTTTAAATAATATTTAATTATATTTTTGTAGATTCTGAGTGGAGCGTGGAATAGGTTTTACAATGATGTATATTTATTTATATTTTTTTTCTATCCGTGAACAACTTTTCTACCTGAAATCTTGCTCTGATTTACAAGTGTGACACTTTTTCTGAAAAGAAACTGGGGAGGTACTTTAAAAATAGTAATTTTGTGATTTTCTCTGGAATTTTCTTATTAAATGGGAAAAACGGGAAAATGTACGAAATGAAGGTATTAGTTAAAAAATATTACGGCTTTTTTTTTCCTTGCAAATAAATTTTTTATCAGAAAATTAGATCTATACTTGCAAATGAGAGTATGCAACTGAACAACACATTTCATAAATCATCCAGAAATGAAAAATAAATCAAAAAAAGGGTATTGATATTATTGATATTATTGTGGGTCGCCATAATTTAAATTATTTCCAAACTAGGTCGTGACACAAAAAGTTTAGGAACATCTGATTTATTTGCCATATATTTAGTATATACGCAAACTGTAAAATGAAGATCTAACACCTGAAATAACTTTAGTTCAATATTTTCATATTTTTGCTTTCTTGTAATAATTGCTAGACTATGATTATTTTACATTAAATTTTAGATTCTGAGTGAAAATGTGTTAAGTGTAGCTTATTTTCTGAAAAGAAATTTTATCTACATGGTACTTTAAGGATGTTAACTTTTAATTATTCAAGTGGTTTTCATAATATCTAGGGAAAACCGGGATAAAATGATATAAGGGCCTTATTTTTCTTGTATAAAACTTTTCTACAAGCAATTTTGCTCTGATTTAAAATGACAGCACATTTTCTGAAAGTAAATCTGACTGGGAAGATACTTTCGCGAGGTCATTTTTGATTTTCCCAAAAGTATTCCCAATAAATGGGAAAAACGGGAAAATGTACGAAATGTAGGTATTAGTTAAAAAATAATACGGGCTTAATTTTGTTAGTTACTTTAAATATTTATTTATAAAAATTATGACAAATTAGTTATTTGAACAATCTTCAACTTTCATTGGCCGTTACTTTTGTCTTGAAAATCTTTTGACTGCTTTGTTGATGTCTTTGGGGTTTTCTTTGTGAATATTAAGCATTGTTAATCAAATCAGCATGTCTTGCATCATAGTAAATCTCATATTATGTTTCAATCATCACAAATATTGAAAGGATCTAGTTGTTTATTGTAATAGTTGTAAATATTTGTAGTATAATTTTAATGTTTAGATAGAATTCATTGCAACGAATTAACTTCTCTATAGTGGTTTTGAAATTTAGTTTTTCTAAACAATAAGTTGAGTCATTTTATCTTCTGTAGTTCTAATTCAGCTTTAAAAATAGCTTTATAAAATCGTATTATTGCCGTCGTTATCATGTAATGACTAACACCGTCCACATAACGTAACATTCCTGCCTCATCACTTACTTTTCAACGATGGTACCGCTCCTTGAATATCCTATTATTTCAATGAAATATGCATTGGTAAGACGACTCAATGTTGGATTATTGTCGATAAGGGTGAAATTAATCAATATAAATTCAGAACCACAGAAATAGAGGAATGAGTCAATTAACCGTGAGTCCATTAAGCGGCGACCACTGTATTTGATTACCTTTATTATCACCAGTGATATTACAATATCTTCGTAGGACATTCTGTATATAGTTAATTAAAATACAAACTATAGTATAAATTATAAATTATAAAGTATTTTGATAATTTATTAAGAACTACACGATGTTAATCTGATGCATGTGATGAGATGTGCGAGATCACCTCGAAAATTAGCTGATTTATCAAAACTATTTACAAGATACGCGATTTAGGTTTTTTTTGGTGAGACAACAGTGTACGCAAACAAGGAAGAATTTTCAGTTTACACGACACGAATTAAACTAATTAAATCGCCTTTGACGCATTTCCCAGTTAATAATTCTGTATGTATTTTAGAGTCTAAGGACGCTCTATTTTCCTCGTTCATTGCTGTATTCTAGTGAGAGCCGTTTGTTTCCCAACAAATTATTGGGTCTAAGCGAAGTCTGTGATTTTTACTCTGTCTATTACTATAATATCTGCACTGCGGTTTTGGATGATACCTTATTCATGTTTCAACTACCTATCTAATTGATATTTATGCTTTCATTGGTCCATTTTCCACTCGATAAACTACATTTATTCGATACTCAGCTCCTTATTTAAGACAATATCCCAGTAATATCGTGTGTCGTGTCATGTCGGAAGATATATATTATAATAAATATTTACTGATAACACTGATTATTGTAACCCAAACGAGTGGAAAGATAAGTTTAGCACAACTTCGCATATTTCCCAGATATGATACGAGTGGCTTATTTACAAATGTCTAAATACGTTACTATAATTTGTTTGGTTTTCACTACATTGGGGGACATTCACTAGTTTCGCTTTTTTCAATTAAAATACTAACATGAGCAAGCGAATGAAGGTATGTAGCCGAATGTGTATTATTTTACAACAACAATAATATTACGCAATTTCAATGAGCTATTAAATCAACCAATCAGAAATCATAACTTAACAGCGCAATTTAAACCAACCAATGAGAATAGTGTATTTGAATAAAGCCATAGAGGCTTTTAAATTAAGTCCATGTTTGAAAAAAAGTATTCATTCCCCCAATCGCTATCATCATCCCTTCTAATTTACCGTTCCAATTTATAAGTCTTCATCAGTTTCTTGTTTGTTTTAGTAACACGATGACAAAGCATAAATACAATTTATTATAGTACTTGAACTCGCCCATAATTTAACTTATGTATTATTGTTTTATAGCTTTAGACAGCAGACAGGTTTCAACTGTTTTCAATTAAGTTTAGATAAAAAAATAATATTAGGTAAAATCATCATTAAAAATCATATCTAATTAAGACTTATAATTATTTTTACTTTTAAAAATTAACCCAATAGAACTTGAAAAAAATTATTATTATGTAAATAAGTTAAACATTTATATATGTATAACAGCTGTCATGGGAAACGCTGAAACGACTAGAAAGAACTAATATAAGTTTGATGTGGAAAATAAAGGTCTCTAGGATTATTTCTATCCGAATACAATAGAAAGCAAAATCGAAAACACTAAAACCGTTATTACCGTAAATTTGCCTAATTTGTTTACGTTTTTCTTTAGTTTTCCAATTATGAAGACAAATACAAGAGAAATCAAAAATTGCACTGACTAAAAAAATGTACATTCAAAAAACATAATACTTAAAGATTAAAGCAAAATGTATGTTAGAAAAATATTTAATTTATAGGAAAAAACCATATCCTATATATATATGTATATATATATTATATGTATATAATATTATAAATAATTCTTTGAGGCACAGGCCAATACTAAATATTCACCACTCAAATATACAGCAATTTTTTTTTTTAAAAAAAATTGTTCGACTTTTTGCTAAATATTTATAATACTGTGTTAGTAAATGATTTTGGTACCATAATTTTACTAAAATTTTATTTGCAAATAAAGTTATTTAAGTTTAAATGGTGTTTATCCACACTAACGTTTCTCTACCAAGAGATCGCGACCCCCAAGGCGATCTCGTGGATCAAAAATAATAAAACGCTGATTTATAAAATGTACCTTTTTATTTACTAAAACAATTGCCTAAAATAATAATAATAAAATTAGCCCGATAAGGATATACAAAAAAATGAATAAACATTATAAAATAAATAATTACTGTGATAGTTAAATTTGATTTACATTTAAAAATTGCTTAATTTGTGGGTCAACATCTAAAACACATAAAAGTAAGTCATTTTCTAGTGATAACAAACGATTTATGTACTTAGTTTTTATTGCCACCGTAGATGAGAATCCTTTTTCGCATAAATAAGAGATAGCGAACGGAATCAACAATTTCAATGCCTCTGTTACCATACTTATTTATATCTTGAGATGAAAATTATAGTTGTAATATTTGTCAGCTGATAATTCTATAAGTTGGTTGTGAGTCTCAATTAGTAATTTGGCAACTGCAAAAATATTTTCATCAAATGGATTAAGAACCCATCTATTTAAGAAGTCATTGTTGTCACATGACAAATATTCGAGTAATTGAATTTTTAATTTTCTTGAATCGGTTTTCATGGCCAAAACACGATTAAAAATAGGACTTTTTAAGTTAAAATTTTTGTCATTGTAATTTGATGTTAAATCAAATGCATACAAATTTCGTTTTTCGAGACGAATGATCCAAATACCAAGTTTTTTGATAAAAGCATTAACTTTATCTGACATTATTAGAATGTTCTTTTCACGGTCTTGTAAGCTAAATATGATGCTTCAAGTGTTGCGGTGTTATTCTGACTTGATTTAAGAATACAAGTTTGTTGATTTTTTAAAAAAAGTGATTTACGCTCAAAAAATCAATTGGTTTTTTTTAATAAAATTGGGTGATTNTCACGGTCTTGTAAGCTTATATTCAAGTCATTCAAATGTGAAAATATATCATTCAAATAAGCCAAAAATATTAATGTGTTATCTTGAAAAAAAAATTGAAAATGTACTATTTCGATCTTTAAAATATGTTTTTAATTCATTTAGCAACTGCAACAATATTTTCATTTCGCTATTCAAAAATCTGCGTTAAAACTTTTCCTCGCAACAACTACCTAACTTCGGTATAGAAATCGGTGACTTGTTCTTGGAACTCATTTCTTCACATAGTGTGGAAAACAATCTGCACTGCAGCGGTTAACTCTTAATATAATTTACTATTTTTACAGCTTCAGATAACATATTTTTTGCGGCAAGTGCATGTCTGTAAAGAAAACAGTGTATCGTCCATTCAATATGTGGCATTAGTTCTTTTAGTTTTACTATCAAACCACTATTTTTCCCTGTTATTGCTCTTGCGTCATCAGAACACCTTGAAATACATTTATTCCAGTCCAAATTTTAATTTTTTGTTGTTCCAATAAATAATTCAAAAAGACCTTGTCCAGTAGCATAGCCTGGTATTGATTTGCAAAAAAACATATTTTCTTTAATTGTCCCATCACATTCATATCGAACAAAACATACAAATTGCGCCAAGTTTGTCACGTCTGTTGACTCGTCAAACTGAATAGAAAAATATTCACTTGATTTTAGATTTTGAACTATTTGATTGTTCGCATCAGTTTCCATTTCATTAATTCGTCTTGATATAGTGTCAAGTATCTATATAGATATAGTATAGTGTCTTTGATAGTGGAATAGTTTTTAATTTTTTTACTTCTTCTGGACCTATCATAATATTGACCATATCAATAGCAGCAGGTAGAATGAGGTTCGTATTAATCGTGTGGGGTTTCGATTTCCTAGCTACCCTAAGTGCTAATAAATAGGATGCTTCAAGTGTTGTGATCTTATTCTGACTTTATTTAAGAATACAAGTTTGTTGATTTTTTTAAAAAAAGTGATTTACGCTCAAAAAAATCAATTTGTTTTTCTACTAAAAGTGGGTGATTTGTTTCCAGATGTTGAATTAACTTTGAAGGTTTCATACTTTCTTGAGATAGAACTTGAAAGTAAACAACATATTGCAATATTCAAATATTCATTGTTGTATGACCTGGACTTTATTTTTGCTGGTTCACCAGAAGTAGACGGCGCATTACGTTTTGTTATACATTTATCTATAATTATTAATTCCCATTACACAAAACTAAAAAGACGCACTAAAAATCAACTTTGTATATTTATACTTCGTTTTGTAAATACAAATAATTTTAAAACTAATAACGCAAAATCACATGAGTTTAACAACACGAGCGACGCATGCTGTTATCGATAAATTAATCGTTTCATAACACATAAAAATAATATTAATAATAACAATAATAAGCAGTCGATTAAATGTACACATCTCATCAATAAAACGGGCATTCCACCGCTAATGGAAATCCCAACTACCCGAGACATAACGTACTTAATTACTAGACATGATATTTAAAATGGTATAATTCGTATGGTTAGGATGGTAGGATATTTTTATTGTTCAAATTTGTACCTAATATATATGGAGGGGGGGAGATCGCAAAGTTATTGACCATATTTTATATCTATTATGGGGGTCGTGACACTAAAAAGGTTGAGAAACGATGATCTACACCAACCACCGTACACAAATCAACATATTATTTTTTTTAATGGCTCATAGCTTTGTTAGAGAAACCAAATAATTTATAATATATTTCTTATCTTATATTAATAAACTCATAAAAACAATTAATATTAAAAATAAAAAAATATGCATAAACACACCAGTTTAGTAGTAAAACATAAAACATCATAAGGTAATATTGATCAAATAAAATAATTACCATATAATGCATATATTTATGTATGACACTTGTAATACACTTGTATGGAACACTTCCTATCAGTTCCTATCAGTCAGTTTCTATAATTGATATTCATATGATAAATAGTGGTTACTACAGATGATCATCGTAAAATATTAATTTTATTGTATTGATGGTTGCTATGTAATAAAAATGTGTTATCATAGATATATATTTGAGGATACACATGGCAAGAGGTTATAGACAAATTTTACAAATTTAAATTACAAAATAGTGATGCTAAACCTATTAATCGAAAACAATGGGTATTATATACAATAGCATATTACGTAAATAGTTTGGTAAATACAACTATTTATAAACCAATAGTTTGGTATGTTAACTTATCAATTAATGTGGTACCGGCTGCTAACCACTACGCATATAAAAGATGACATATTTTCACGAAGTGGTTAAAATCCATAACCACCATACAAAAAACAAAAAAATTAAGTAGTCACTGTTACTAATTACAATGCCTCAAAGAGATAAACCGTTGTCATCAGCAAAATTATTGTCTGCGTATAATATGTATACAATATTTACGTTTAAAGGCATAAGATATTATTGTGTAAACGTGTGTATAATTTTATATTATTATGTACGCTTTAAAGTGATTCAATCTATAATATTCTGGGTGCAAACGCGTGGTGGTTCGTTCTTTAATATTTGATCCGCAAACAAGTACCCGATTTTAAATTAAATATTTTAAAATGTGCGTTAATTAATTATAGTAAAAAAAAAAAATCCGGTACTACAAGGGATGGTTGTGCTGGATCTACTGTTGTAGATGGGAGGAAAGGAAAATAAGATATATCATAAAATTATTTAATTTATATCTATACGCAAAGCAGTTACGAACCCAGGGGAATGGAACCCAGGTCCGGACTTCCTCCCTTGGATAATATCACATTATTTATTTTTGAAAGTTTTCCTGGAATTTTCATCAAAACTTATTGATTAGAGTGATTATTAGATCTGGTATTTTGTTGATAACACGTCAAATCTAATGTATGAATAAAATCAACGATTGTCAATAACTATATCATAATAGTGCAACCACAGTTTAAGATAAAATATATAAGCATGTCGTATATCTTAAACCATGGTTGTATACTGTTTTTCTATGATTTTTATTTTATTATCGTAATTGACCAAATGAACCTTAGCTAATTATTTACATGCAATGAACCAATATATATTCATTATCAATGTTACTTCTGATTACATACAATGTATGCTATTATACAATAATAATTTTTTTTTTATTTCATTATAAAATATCAATCGTTCCACTTAAAATCTAATAATATAAAATAATATAATTGTGTTTATTAAGTAATTAAATGTATGTATATACTCAGGAAAAGAACATAAAAACAGTAATTAAATACATTTATTTGAACCCCCTCTCTTGAATAAATCCTGGTTGCGCCACTGACGCAATGAAAAATTATTGTTAACGAAAAACGATTTTGAGCGAAATTCGGTTATTCATGTTTAGAAATGTCGTAATTTTTATGATTTTAGATTATAAATTTTAATACATTTTTAAAAAGGATTAAATAATCTTTGAAAAAATAGAGTCTGGGTTTTATAGTTCCGTCCATTTATTTTACGGAATAATGCGGGACATTTATATAGCGATACAAGTCCGTGTACAGTGGGGGTTTACGGGTTCAACCCCTTCACCCCGAAATTTTTAAAGTGGGTATACAATTATGATAGAACAAAAACCAACTACAAGTTCACGTATTAAAAATATTTTAACCACCCTCCCCTCCACCCGAAAATTGATCCTGAATACGTGCTTATAGTGATACAACAAAACAATATATATTTTATATTCGTTAAATTTCCAAGAATTTATTTAAAAATATTTTATTGAACCAATATTTTCACAAAAAATTATTAATAATTTGTATAACTTTTGGTGGGTCAAGTGTTTTAAACGCTTATTATAATATATTATGTATAATCGTGTTATTAAAATATTATTAGATAAAATCTAATAAAAAAAACGTCTTGTGCGTGTGATTATTATTATCACGGACAATAACAAGATGTTTGTGATTAAAATATAAATAATCGACAAATAAAAGAATATCGGATTCTCCGAAACAGTGACACGGACACGACTATTCAATACGGACAAACGATAATCGTTTTTACTGTAATTTAGCGACCGTTGAGAACCTCTCATATGTTTTATATATATTATCCCATATACATTAGTTCGCCTGTAGTATGGTCAGTTTCCGTTATATAAACTGTAGGATAAAACCCATGCATAACAAATACTCGGATAATCAATAGTACTTTCAATAATATTACAAACCAGTTGAAACCAATAGTATGGTAACTAGTAGTACGTACCTATCTAATTAAAACATTATAAGTACACGTCATAACTGAAATAATGGCTGGAAATAAATTTGACATCTAATTAGGGATATTACATATTTTTTTAAATTTATTATAATACACGAATACGAATAATGTTATTGAAATACATTTAATACCTACCAAAATACAGTTAAAATACAATTTGTCCCTTCGCTAATCCGATTATCGGATTGTTCGTCTAGTAATGAAATGCCGTCTTTAACAGATAAATAATTGTTCCGAAATGCTCCCACTATCTACGCCCATTCTCGATATTAGATTACCTATCAGATAATAGATAGAATGATAGTAAATATTCTGTTTAAAATTTTAAAGAGCCCGACGTATTTTGCACAGTATGTCAATACATTGCGAATATTCGAAGATTGCTGGAAATCTAAACATTTATTTTTTTAAACAAAACACCACCGAACAAAATAATATATTAGTATTTCATTAACTAAAAATATATTTTTAAACATTGTTTATGTAAACGTAATGGACGTTTCCAATGAAGAGTGAAATTAATTATCATCTAATAAAAATTCCTAGCCTTTTTAATTGCAGCATGAACAAATCATAGAATTTTTAATAGCCACCTAAAAACTGTTTTCCAAGAAAAAATTACACATTTTAGTAAGTCTTAGAGCTTCTTTACAATAACATTAGAATCTACAAATTAAACTAACTTAAACGTGTTATAAATTTATAATTCAATAAAATAAACTCGTTATTCATTAAATTATAATGTACACGAATTTAATTTAAATCGATACAAACTGGTTAAAACTTTAAAAGCCAAGTTTAAAAATTAAAATTAACTTATACTTCTATTATATTAATAATAGTTTATTATTTGATTAGTTTTCCGAAAAATAAATGTAGGTAGGTACCTAATTCTATGCATTGTTGGATTAATTTAAAATATCTGCATGCAGTAAAAAACTTTTGTATATATTATTATGTTTCACAAAATATAAATATATGATGATTAATTAAAAAGTAATAAGTTCTAAATTTTCTTTGTCAGAACATATTTTATTGGAAAATATCAAGTAGGAATTTATTTTTCGGTGAAATTTAACATCGGATTTCATTATCCATGCCAATCGGCAGATATTATTTCGGAACACATGCATTTCTGACAAAATACGATCCGTGCAATTATATTTTAAAGCAATTAATATTCCGATGATTATGATGTTTCAAACAATATACCTTCCTACTAAAAATTTTTCTCAGCTTCTAAAAATATTATGTTAAATAATTTTATTTAAAATAAAATAAATAATGGTTATTATGAATTTTAGGGATGGAAGCGAATTTTATGTGCATTTGGAAGGTAATTATTTGATTTACTTTGTCATTTTCATAATAATTGTGAAATATTATTAGAAAACGGAGAAATCACGGTATCCGTTATATTCGATTTAATTTATTTATTGTAATTCGGTTAGATAATAATTATAGATTATAATCGTAGAGACCATATATTTTGACAGATTATTCTTATTAACTCTTTCTAGACAGTGTAAAATTTTCAAAACATTCGGTCGAATGAGGTATATATAGTCTTATTATATTGGATTTACTATGATGTATTTTTTTTTCTCTGTAAATAAACTCTTCAACGAGAAAACTTGTTTCAATGTATTAAGTGTAGCACCTCTTCTAAAAAAAATGTTATCTAGTTAATGCATTAAGCAGACAGTTTTATGATTTTTCTAAAGGTTTTCATAATAATCGGGAAAAACTGGAAAAAAAATTATCGGAAAAATGTCAAATATTTATGGCGTGTCGTGGTGTTACCAATTTCACAATTTTTATTTCTTACGCACTATGTTTTATATCAGAAATATTGCTTTTATTAAAAAATGGTAAAAGACCATTTTTGGGGGATTTCTAGCTACTAAAGAATTAAGTCATTTTCCCAATAGATATCATATTAATTGGGAATAATCGAAAGAAAAAAAGACTTAGAGATAACGTAAAGGTTTATTGAAATAATTGTTTCAAAAATTTCAATCTTGAATTTATACTGTAATTCAGTTTAAAATATTCGTAAACAATTGACATTATGATAGAAAACGTAAATTTACTTTCTTTGACGTCGTCAAATTTTTAAACATTTTGGCGTTTTTATGTTTGCATTTTTTTAAGGTTATTTTTTATTTGGTAAGTACTCTCGATAGGGTACCTACTAAAATGTTTGAACCGAAATATTTAAAAATTTGACAGGAGGTTAATTGTAAGTCATACTTAGTGACCAAAAAAAATTGAGTGTTATATATTTTTTTTTTTTTATAAGAGTTTTAAAATCAAACTTTTATGAAAATTGTATATATTACGGCCTATAACAAATCATGTATCAACGAACTTCACTCAGAATCGTTTTTCGTTTGCAGTGGTTCATCAATACTTACAAATAGAAATTAAATAACTACAATGTATCCTACTTTCCCAAATTCCCACCCACATTGTAGTGTACCTTTCGGCATTATCGGTTCTTTTTTTTTTGTATATTTTTTATTTGGTTTTTGTGGATTAAGTAGATTATGCGGATTTATGTGGTTTATGTAGTTAAAAACAAAATTTGAGCGTAACATTAAAATTGTTTATGTAAACATTTAAAGTTAAAATTTTAAAGAAAATTGTAAAAAATACTTCCAATCATGTTGAAGGTTAGATTGCTCAAAATTGTTATTTGTTAGCAATAGTTTATCGTTACGTATAGATATAATAAATTAAATAAATTAATATATTTTACTATTGTTAAATAAAACATGTCTAATGATTTTAATGAATTTAATTATTTATTTGGTTGGGTTATATTCTTAGAATTTACTGCGAGTAATTGGGTAGATACAATCAATAATATGTATATAATATTATATGTATTATAATCAACCTGAGTCTAATGTTGTATAAAATAGATAAACGAAAAAAAAAATATGACATAAAAATACATGCATTCATAACTCAACCGTCATGTACGTTAACATGGCATGTAAAATGTAATAAACGGCAATAACTTACTGTAAAGAGGAGAGGGTAGTATTTTTTAATAAATATTGTTTATATTATTAAGCAATAATTAAAATATATATATAAGTTTTAAATTGTAATTTTATTAAAATGAAAACTGTAATTTACACCATTGTGAGAGGTTTCTGAATATAAGACACTCAAAATCTCGGAAAGTATGTATTTTTTTTAACAATTTAAGAAACATATAGCTTAAAAATATTATATTATCGTTAATTTTTATTATTTTTACTTTTAGTAGTAGAATAACTATTCAAGTTTGATTTTTAAATTAAGAATTGCATAAATAAATGATGAGTTTTGTTATAATATATTTTGGTGCTGATATTTTTAATTTCCTTCTACACCCTATATTAAACTCAAATACATATGCATTACAAAAAGTTTGAAAAAATAGTCACTGCAGTATATATATAGACTTTTAGAAAAAATTAAATTTTATTGCAGTATACAATTGCACCGATATGCAGTCCACAATATAGAAATTAAGGTAACGAAAGAAGAGATAATTTAGTAACGAGGTTCCACAATAAAATTACAATTATATGCATCAATAAAGTTGTCAACAGTAAAAATAGGTATTATTATAATATTTTATTGTACAGGGTGGTAATATTTTTTTCAATTTTAATTTTTACGCCTAATAGTTAAGGGTTACAAATACAAGGGTCATTATTGTAAACATTATTCATGTAGTGTATTATAATAATATTTATTTTATCAAACTTTTTAGTATAAATTCAATAAGTTTTTTTTTGTCCCGCATAAAAAACCTCAATGGATTACGGCTATTTAAGTCATTGTCCTACCGAAAATTGTGTGGATCTATAGATATTGGACGTTTATTTAACATACCATCACCGAGAATTATTTTAGTTTATATTTTGTGTTTTCTTTTTACTAAAAATAAGTTATTATAAATACACAAGAATAAAATAAAATAATTTTTAAATTACGATTTCCAAGAAATAAGAATGGCATCATATAGGTATTCATAGGCTATTACCCTATATATTTATGAAGGTGTTTGGAGAAACTACGCATTGATGGGTTAACTAGTAGGTACTTATATATTTTTAACTAACCCTTCTTTCTTCGTTGGACTGTGGAAGTACTGTTGGAATGTTTCATCATTTTCTCTCGGAAGTAAACGCACGCGACCGATTCCGAATGAATAATTACATTCGATCGCGACGATTAAGTCGCACGGGTCATATCCGGTGATCTCGATTGTGGTCCTGGAATAGTGATACTGTTTTTGGATAGATAAATTTGTACTTAATACAGGATGCAAATCGGATATTTCGTTCATGGTGGTTAAAAGAAAAATTCATAGAACCAACTGGCACGACACAAATTTACAACCTTCTGAACACAGTACATAGACACCGAACAGATTACGTACAACTAAAAAAGGTCGGGGTGCAAAACTGAAGGGTCGATAAACGAAGGGTCGATAAACAAAGGGTGTAACAAGCACACGCCCAATAGAATCCATGTGTTTATTATTTGCCAGTGTTGCCAATATTTCAACAGCTTTCGTTACTCGAACAAACTTAAAAATCGATCTGTCCTTGCATCTACCACAGAAGATTAGCATATTGTTGGCCCGTGATGTTTTCAGTAGCCATGCAACATTCAAGTTCGGATGATGTGGCATGAGTTTAACCTAACCTACTCTCGTATAATTTTAATTTTTCGAAGTTCGTCTGTTCTATTCTTTGCCAAGTAAATATCCTAATGCAAATCGCATTTGGCGATGGGTCATCGACAATTTTTACCAATGTTTCAATTTAAATTTGCAAATTTTAAAACAGTTTTTTAATTAATTGTGGTTAATAAGTGTTTAAGAACATTGTTGATTCGGTGAAAATCAGACAAAGTAAAACTTTGTAGTTTGTGATAGTTTATCCATGCGGTTGTAATAAATTGGTCTCACGCGGGTTCGACAGAAAAGTCATCATCGGAAAATCATGTACAGAACAGAGGCGTCATTTGATTGGATAACTTTGTGGTTAAACGGTTCAGAGTCGCTATTAAGTAAATTTTAACTTTATCAATTACAATAACATCAAATAAAAGTTTTTTTCATTGCTTAAACATTTTAAATCATATTTACACAATTTCATGGGCGATGATTGAAGGCTAAATGATCTTATCTGCTAAACGGTGCTAAACGTTTAGTAACTAAAAGTAAATAATATTGATTTTAAAAAACTGTACATTTATTTGCGGGAATTAAAAATTGCCAGTACCTATATTCTTTTAAATTGATATAATTAATTTGTGGGTTTTTTTTTTTTTAATCTTTTGAACTTGTGCAAAAGTTACACATATTGTGTACTTTTTTTTTTTTGTATAGTATTTCTTATCTTCAATATTTCATATCTGTATGCATTAATCATTGGTTTTCACAAGTAAAGTATTAATTATTTATTATATTTTAGACATTAAATAGCTTTTAACTAGATATTGTTTTTCGCTTTTCATAATCTTTTGAAACAATTAAAAGCAGGATAATATACATAGGTACATAATACCTATATATGTATATTTTTATGCGGCCTGCTGAAATATTTATAATAGCCTACTTGACATCTTGCACACCCCCAAATAATACTGAAATGACGTCCCTGGTACAAAAATTAAAATATGTATATTTAATATTTAGAAAATTATGAAAATGTGTATAAATAATATAAGAAGATCTTTTAAAACTTAATTAATAATATGATATTTTTTTAAGATATTTAATACACTTAAATCTTTATCATTAAAGTAATAAAAATATTTTATTTATTATTGATTATCAAAATCACGTTTAACAGAATTCGATTTAATATACATTTATTAATTTGACTTAAAATGTGTGGAATAATCTAACTGTATAATTGTGTATGAAATTATTTAAATCATAGCTTAAATAACTTTCATAATGTTATATGTAAATTTCTTATAAAATAGCTCACAACGTTGAAATCGCACGAAACCGCCATTTTTTCGTACCATTGCAATATTAGGGAATTTTAGGACCAAATCAAAAATAAAAAAATTTAGATAATTTGTTTTAGTTGTTTTGTATAGGTTTTGTTTTGTGAAATAATTATATATTTAATATAATAAGCAATATTATAAAATATCAACACCCAACTATACTAATGAGGTAAGATTTAAATTTGGGGTAAATCTAAAAATAAAATGTTACTCGGAAATAGGGACGCTAGAACAACGCCCCCACAGTAATTATATTTAAAAAAAAACAAGCCTTAAATAAAAAATTCAAAGGTCTTTAATATAAACACATAAAAAAAGGCTAAGAATATTATATAAATTTTAACTAGTATCTTCGGATAATTCAGGTAATCAGTGATCGATAATAGATATCAGTTCCTCCGAAATGCAGATGACATCACTATTTTAGACTGTATCGGTAGCGATAAATTTAGTTCTACGTATTATTATTGAATATAAAAAGTATTAGACCCGAATCAGACCACCGGATTTTACTGTCCTGTCCATATATCCACGACCGGTAGTTTTAGTATAAATATAAAATATTATTAATATAAATATTATTTAATAAACCCGGCAGAGTTAATAAAACATTTTGTTGTAAAATTATTAATAATAATTGTAAAATAATGTTTGCAAAGTTTTATAAGAAATTAAATAAATTACAGATGACCAGATGACAAAAATGTACGCCGTATGTTCATTAATTCGATAGCTGCTTCCGAGTTCCGTCCCAAATGTAAAATATGAATTTAAGGATATACTAGGTTCGTCCCGGGTTTTTAAAATGGATAAACTAATTCCTTCCTATATAATTTATTTAGTTATACGAGTTCCATCCCTTTTTGAATTTCCTAAACTACCTATATTAATAAATTATAGTATAAATGTACGACTACGATAACAATTTTATCACGGCTACATCTTAAATCGTGGCTTATAATTCATATCAATATGACAATAAAGGTTGTATTAAAATATAGTTGCAGGTGTATATTTTAAATATTTACATTTATTAAATTTTTATGCTACTTTAATTTCTAAATAATCTATGGCCTAACGCTTTGACGTAATGCAAGGTCTAACGTACCTGTTTTGTATATTGTACTGTGCTATTAAATTTATTCTTTTAATTTTTTTTTTTTTTAAATGTCTTCAAACAACAACAAACGTATTAAAAAACGATTTCAAGCGCTGTTAAGTTGATAGTGATTTTTTATCAACAATATATATACCATATTATAATAAAATAACTAAATAGGCTTAATATATTTTCTTACTGTTATACCGATTTTCCTATGTTTTTTCCGGGTTTTTCACATTTGCTGGGAAAACTCCTAAGAAAATGAACGCTCTAAACTATCTCCCCAATGGAATTTCCTTTTAGAAAAATTGATATAATTGTAAGTTAGAGCCAAATTGTTGGTAGAAAAAGTGGTTACAGTAAAAAAAAGGCCATAATATTTTTAGCTAATATACTTACATTTCTTAAACTGCATCCACACTTTGCCGAATGGTGTGGACAACATCGATCTACAATGTCGAACAAATGTGTACGTGTCGAAACATGTTCAACTTTTAAACTACAGCTGATTTTATCACATAACCTTATCTACTACAAAAACCTATGAAAACATTTTCATTCTGGTTTAGTTTTTTTTTTGCTTAGTACATTTATTTGGTTTTTAGTTTTTTAAATTAAGGCTTATCATTAATTCATGATAAATTGGGTTGATAATCAAACAATTTATTCTATTGAAAAGTATCGTGATCGAAGTTTATTGTGGGAGGTGGGACCCAACTTATTTTATAGGTGATTAATAATAATCAATAATACTGAATATATTAGTAATTAGAAAACAAAAAAGCGATTTGGTAAAACACAGTCGATACGTGTCGGTACAATTGTATCGGTCAACTAGTCCACACATAATTGACAAGTTGAAAATCGACCGTGTCGATCGACACCATTCAGCATACCATAAACACAGATTAAAGCTACAGCTACAATAAGTTCCGTTTTTTTTGGTTTTTCACATTTGATGAGGATTAATAAACATCTTTGTAAAACCATAATAAGCTTCTTCGTTCCACTCAGAATCTAAAGTACTAACTAACTAGTAAACATGTTACCACTAAAATGACTAAGCAAAACATAATAATATGCTTGAATACCTATATTATATTAAATGCATTTTTCGAATAAATTTTGTCGGCCATATTGTTTTTTATTTTTGCGCGCAGATTGTCGCCAGCTGTGCTTACAAGTAATATCATATTTTAACATTCCTATTTGTATACTACATAACTATATAGCTACGTCATTAAACGAGATAGTAACGAATAAGATGATATTATTTAGTCTTATTAATAATGTTCAAAACACAAATCAAATACACTCGATTATTAAATATAATATTATCTAAAGTAATAACATAAAAAGATATAGTATATAAGTATACATATATAGATATATAATATATAGTATACTACATTTTTTATTATAACATGAGGCGTGTTGTGTGGAGACCGATCGTTTTTAAAAACATACAAAATGCCTGTCCTAAATATTTTTCGATATTAAAATATCGTTTATATCAAAAGTGCGTAACATTATATAATGTTGTCCACAGCATAGGGAGCATAGCAACGTTTTTGAGAATATAATACAAAAGATTGTATTATAGCTATTATTTCGATCGACGAGAATGGGCGGGGACGTTTACGGCGTTGCCGGATTATGCGAGTAGGTAGCATTTCGACAAAATTATATTTCTACTGCATTCTTACAGCGTAACTAATACCATAGCCATAGTATATTATGTACGCCGTAGACGGAATGTGTGGGCCAGAGGTCAAATACTTAGTGGTTCTCAAAATAAACCTAGTTTCTATAACTGCGTACGACGTTATTTTTTTAGTCGGTAGGTTTTAAGGCTTTCGGCTGTCACATACACCGCGATATTATATTTGTTTGATATTAAACCGCGCGGTGAATCGATAAATTATTATTAGACAAAATAATATCCGCATCAGCTCTGACGCCGGTTTTTTCTCGATATTTCTATTTGCAAAACGAATATCAAAACCCGTTTGAAAACCGCGAATATCAAAAAGAAAAAAATGCTCGCACATAACGTTTAGAAAAACTGTAATGCGACATTATATATTTTTGAATAGAATATTATCGGATATTACAAAGTAGAAAACCAAACATAGGTTTTTTTTCTCTACAACAGTTATTGGAAAAAAAAAAAAAAAAAAAACGAGAATTTATAATACGGTTGCAGTACAAGGACC